AGGCTGCCCCCTCCCCCCCCCCAGCCCAATTTATCTCCCCATTACTGACCTTAAGCCCCTGGGGGTGTCAGCGTCCTGCAGTGCAACCTGAGGGCTTGGGGGACAGGAGGGGGAGAAAAGTGGGGGACAAAAAAACAATCCTAAGGCAGAGCTTTGAGGGGCTGCTGGCCTTCCCTAGGGCATCTCTCAGCCTAGCAGGGCAGATCTGGGGGCTCTGTCCCCCCCAGAGTGCCCGCAGAGGAAGTTTGGCTGGGAGTGGAGCACAGCAACGGGAGGTATTTTTATTTTAGAGCAGCGCTGCAGAGGGGCTGGTTCAGGAGCTGTCTGTCACTGCAGCTGCTGGAAAGGACCTGAGCTGGCTGCCAAAGCCAACCCGGGCCAGGTCTGGGGCTGTGCTTCCAGCCTGTAAGACTGACCTCGGTGCACAGGTGGGGAAACTGAGGCACGCAGTATGCGGCTGAAAGAAAGGGCAGGCTGGGGATGTGGACAGAGTGATGTTGGGGTTGGCCAAGGATGAGTCAACACAGCATGTGGCATCTCTGTGTGCCCAGCTGAGCTCTCTCTGCCCATTCCCTCCGAGGTTTGGTTGAAGATCCTGATGGTGTTGACTTCCATGAGCTGCCCTTGGGGCTGGGGGAGTGAATCAAGGCAGGTGTGATCAACACCTCCATGGGCTGGTTGTGTTGGGGTGAGATGTGGCACATTCTGGGCTCCAGAGAGAGGAACCGCCCCAGGAGCTCTGTGCCAAGGGGCTCCCCCTGGCCTGGGGCTGGATGAGAGCAAGGCAGAGCCCACTGCTCAATGGTGTAAAAATAAAATCCACCAAAACCTTCATCTTTCTGCCACAGCTCCGTCCCTACCCAGAGGAACTTGGCCCCTCACACTCTGTTATAATTGACCAGGTGCTCAGAGGAGAAGTAATTAAGAGTTCGGTGTTGATAAGCAATGAATACAGTTTACCATGCTCCATGTGACTGTGATGAGCCTCCACTCACTGACAGCAATGTGGTTGATGTCTGGAATACACCAGGGTGCCTCAAAGAAGGGAAAGCTGTGTCTGCCCCCAAATCCTTCTCCTTGACTGTGCTCCACATTGGGTACCCTCAGCACGTTCACCGCCTGAGAAAAGAGGAAAGTAGGTCCCTTTATTTTTATTTTATTATTTTATTTGATTATTTCATTATTTTATCTTGCCTTCCCTTTTATCTAATTTTATGTTTCGTTTTTACCCTGGGTAATTTGTGAGCTTCCTGGATGGAAAGTGCAGCAGAGGTGCGGCAGTTTTTCACGAGGCTCTGGGAACCGTGATGATAAAAATCGTTTAGCTTTAATTTATAGATATTATAAAAAATTAGAAAAAAAATACCCTCACTCTCTATTTCTAATATAGTAAGATTTATTTTTAATGTGACCAGCGTGCCTTCCTCAGCACAGGGGACACCTCTGTGTTTTATTGCCCTGGTACTGCAGCTTTACTGCTAAGGGCTGTTTATGGCCTCGAGCTGATTTAATGACAGTATTTTCAAACATCTGTCAGCTTGCTGGAAGATGTGGTACATGAGCAGAGGGCACTCCTCTCTTTCATGCGCAGGGAAGTGAGTGGGAAGGTGGTGGGGCTCAATGGAAAGCCTTACCCCATTCCAATGGGGCACAACACCAACATGAAATGGGGACACCCTCCTCCTGGCCACTTTCACCCTGCTTCGTATTGCTGTCTCCCTGCTGCTGGGGAAGCTCTCTGTGAGGTGAAATGGAGGGAGAGATGATTGTAATAAACAACATGTGTTGCTTCATACTGCTTCAAGTTCCTCCACCAAGTCTGCCCACGTACATGTGCAGCTGGGAGCTTGTCACCTAGGACCTCAGCAGGCACCTCCCTGGCTAGCAGAACAGCTTGAGAGAAGGAAATGTGGGGAAATGCATTCATCCATCCAAACTTCCATCCATCCAAACTTCCATCCAATCCAAACTTCCATCCATCCACCCACCCACACATCTACTCATCCATCCATCCATCTGTCCATCCAACCTTTCAATCTTCCATCCCAGGTCACCCATGACATCTTTCAGTCCCCCAGAACAGTCCTGCTTTCCCCCCATGGCCCCCAGTGATCCCACCAAAGCCCCACACTCCCCCCAGGATCTCCTGCTGCCCTGGGAAGGGCTCCAAAGAAAGCTCCCAGCACTTGGCAAGGACAACACCCCACTTTAGTTGAAGCCTGCTGCCTTTAGCCCTTCTTGTCAAGATCCCCTTTCCTTCCTGAAAAAGTACAGATAACTATTCTTGCTGACAAACGAACTGCTCTAAAACCCAAAGCTTCATCCTGTGCCAGCAGATGGGGTTTGGAGCCTTTGCTCTGTAAGAGGAGATGCGTGGGGATTGAGGTGGCATTTGTTGAGCGAGGCTGCCCTGTCCTGTGGGACCGGCCAGCTCTGAGCAGAGCTTGGAAGGGAGAGGATGAGCAAGAAACCCAACACCCCTCTTGGCTCAGCGGTGGCTTAATTTAGAGCACTGGGGCTCTACTGTGGGGTTTTTCCATTTAAAGCTCATTCATATGTCAGGCACGGGGCGATGGCCCCAGTGCTTGCAGGGCAGCAGCAGCTGCTGGCTGCGGGCAAAGCAGTTTTCCTTTGTCCTTTTCTCCCTGCTGCCCCCTGCAAAGGAGTTAAGTGCATCTCCTCCTCACATCTCCCTTCTCCGCAGCCTTTCCAACGAGGCATTTGCTGCCAAGCTCCCAAAAACCAAAGTGACCAAGTGCCCTGGAAAGGCGACCATCTCCCAAATACAAAACCCCCATGGGTTCAATGCTTGGGGAGGGCACGCATCCCCCGCAGCCCAAATCCACAGCTCTAAATTGGAGCAGTTACAGTGGGATCAGCTTTGACCTACTGGCTGATCCTCTGCCGCTTGGCTCAGCAGAGCCCAACACACGGAGAGATTGTGCATGTCGATACCATCTATATTTAACTGTGCTAATGCAACTTAATTCACATTACGGCCAGCTGGGGCAGCGGGCTGCACTCTTGCAATGCTTGCTGTCTGTAGGTAAGGCTGCTTGTAACAGGCTGAGAGGAAAACGCTGACAATTAATCGAAGGTCAACAGGATTTATTCCCAGTGGCTCAGCTGTACTTTTCAAACGGGATGCATCCATCAGGCATTTTCTGGCTGCTTAGTGGAAGCGCTCTGCTGAGACAACCTTTGGTCTTTGGACTTGTGTTCATAGCACACGGTGGCTAAAAGCTGCCTGAATCCCACTGAGGAGTGTCCACAGCCTCAAATACCTACAGCAGAATTCACCTTCAGGGCTGTTCTTCACAGCTTAACTGCTGCCACCAGCCTGCATCAGCAGCACGGAGTGTTGTCATCGCCATCAAAACTGCAAAAAGAGACTGAAAAAACTCAGAGCTCCTCAAAAAGTGGCCTGTGACACAACTCTGTGCTGTGTGAAGGCTGTCCCAGTGAGGAAAAGCCAGGTGCTCACACTGCTTTTATCTGGCAGAGAGAGAGGCACAGTGATGGCTGGCTGCAGAGTGAAGCCAGTGAGATTCAAATGAGAATTAACACACGAGATTTTAATAGGTTGGTGTTGATGTGGGAGGAGAAACTTCCAGGGAAAGCAGGCAATCTGGGAGGTTTCAGATCAAGCCCAGCTGCATCCCTACAAGAAATGTAGCTCAAACAGCACATAAAATTGCTGGAGAGATTCTCTGGCTGAGGACCTGCAGCATGGGTTTCTGCAGTGAGACGAGTGTTTGCAGTGGTTTTGGTCTCAGCAGCTGAGCTAAGGCTGCTTCAAAGATCTCACTGGGTTTCTTAAATTCAATGACGAAACTATGTGAACTGTGCCTCTCCCATACCTTGAGAAAATGGGAATCAGCTGCTACAAGGGTCAGTATGGGCAAAAGTCAAAGTCAGGTCACTCTGTTGGTAGTACAGAGGGAATTTATCTCAAAACTAAGGTGAAAACTGAGAAGGTCTGCAGAATTTGGCCTGAGTTCAGATCCCCTGAACTCTGTGATAGGAGACAGATTACACATTGCACATTCACTGTGACTTACTTCTTCCCCCTTCTTCAAGGCATCTTCTGGTTGTGTGCATCAGAAAAAAAAGGGAGAAAAATGCTTCTGTGCAACCCCAAACAAGCATATGCTTAAAGAAACAAGTGTTACAACACTTAAGAGGTTTGTACCATATGCTATCAAGCCATATGTGTTCTGTAACATCTAGCACTCCCATTTTCTCATCTGAGTTTCATCGGTTGATTCATTGCCACCTCAGGAAGGATTTTGCTAGAGAGCATTATGAGGACAGGAGACAAATACCAACCACACATTGGAAAGGACAGCAGTTTTCCTCTTATGAACTTACGGGAAAATATTATTGATTCACACTTCTGTGTAAGCGAAATCAGAATCTCCAGCTGCAAGCTGGCAGCCTGAGCTTAGCAGCCACTGCAGAGCAAAACCTCCACGATTTGCCACAGCTCAGGCCACCTTGGTGGGTGATCTCTCTACTGCAGGCTCTGAAAATATCTATAGGAGGTGGGCTGAATTATTCCCTTTGGTCTGCGCTGCATCATGCATCATCAGGATGGAGCTGAACAGAAAGGAAGTGCTTGCAGCTCACTTGGACAAAACTTTGTCAACCCCTCAATGTAGGATTTGCAACTCCTCCAGCTGACAGGAGCGTACTGTGGGTTGCAAAATGGCCTTTCTTCTGGTGCTTCTGGCAGGAGGAATCTGACAATGAGCAGTTTTGGCCCTACTTGTTCTAGAAAGACCCCTTTGCTCATGCTGGGTAGGGAGCAGTGATTTGCCTGTCCACAAATCCACTTTGGGATGGTGATGGCTGGGGTTAAAGTCTGACAAACTTCACGCTCACAAAAAGCTGACAAAGCAAAGCAGAAAGAGAAGAGTTTTCAAAAGACTTTCATCTGAGAAACAAGGCAGCACTATTCAAAAATGACTAGCTCTCTATTTGCTTGTAATCCCCAAGGCTACTCTCTGCTGGCAGGCTGCATGCTAATGCCTTATTAGCTTGCATTTGGTACTCTCATCCTGCTGCAAGAGAAAAGGACAGAGACGTAAGAGTTTTCAGCACTTTCAAAAGTCCCTCCTCTACTGTAATAAAGCTGCCTGCTTCCACCAGCACTTCTTTCTAATGAGAACAAGACCTGCCTGATGGATAGCTGAAGAGAAATTGGGGAATTCAGAACCCGGATGGCCAGTTTCATATGGAATGAGCTATTACAGGGAGCTGCATTTAAGGTAAGTCTTACTGATTGGAGGAGCACTCCACAAAGTTTTCCTTTCCAGTGGAAAGTCTACTGAGTTTCAGAAACCTCCTCTGCCAATATGTTCAAGCAAAGAAAGAAGCTAGGAAGGTCAATAGGGAGCCCACAAAGTGCACTTGCAGATATTCTCAGGCTAGGCTAACCCATTCCTTCAGCACTTAAGTACTACAGACAGCCTTAGGCAGACCAGTGTCAGTGTACTGATAATAAAAGAACTTGGTTTGCTCCTGGCAGAGCTTTGGAGGGGGGCTGGCATAAGTGCTGTAAGGCAAATTCCTTCATATGCTGATAAAGGCAGCAGTGTAAAGAATATCGAGCCCTCTCTTAAATGAAACTAGGGAGACTTTGTCCAAAATCACACTGCAGAATTGAAGCTCTCTAAATTGCACCAAACTCTGGTATGTGTAGCCTGGGAGCCACCTGCTTGCTAACTTTTGCAGCCTGAATTTGCCAACATGCAAAATCTTCAGTCTTTTTCTATTCCGTCTCCATCTCTCCTCCTCTCCTGCAAAAGCTGAAGACATGACATGCAAAACTACACTTCCAGTGCGTTTCAATCCATGGGCACAACTCCTGGCCTCTCTCCTTTCTTTGCAGTTCAGAGGGCTCTGATTATCTTGCTTAACTCGTCTCTTGTTTCTGCTGCCGAATGGCCTGTAGAAAGATATCCTTCACTTGGTCCATTGTGTCTTGGTACAGCTTAAAGTCTTCCTCTTTCTTTCTCACAGTAGTCTCCAAAGCAGCCTTCAGAGCTTCATTCTCATCCAGCTGGATCACAAGCCTACGAGGAAACAAAAGGAAACTTTCATGTGAGCTTTGGAGCTTCAAAACAAATTAGAACAGTGCTTCAGCTCCAGGGAAGATTTCACTGAAACACATGCTCTCTGGTAATTTTATAACAGCCATGAGAAAGAGCAGACCTATAAACACTTGCTCCTTTTCTCTTAGAGACAGAAAAAGATATTAGAAGACAAAGATTCTTCTCAGATGTTTTGTTAAAGATTATAATTTTTTTTTCTTTCACCAATAAGCTTGTAATCAATAGCTAAGAAAAGAAAAAATAAAGGCATTTCTCTTGAAGTGCTTCATGTTGCTTTACATTTCTGGTTATCTGTGTCATTTTTAGGCAGTTGGTATAAGAATGATACAGGAAAACTCCATCCAGAGGATCTGTGATTTGTACCAGTTTGCTGGTTTTCCTTCTGAGGAGCTGGTTCAGGTAAAATCACTTACAGGAGGACAGCAGTGAATCTGAGCTATTACTGAATAGTAATACTGAATGGCAGTAATGCAGCATAGAGGAAGGGAAACCATACCTTGTACTGAGCTCCTCTATCTGTGATTCCAGAGACAGCTTGGACAGCTGGGCTGCAGAGAGCTCCTTCCTATCACTCATGTTCAAGGACAGCCTTGACTGACCAGCAGACTGACCTGGAAATTTCATCACAAAATGCAGTGTTAGTAAAACAAGCAACACAAGCAATCTTTTTCACCTTGTGAGACTTCAACTAAATCTCAGGAAACAGTGAATAAACACAGTTCTATATATATCTAAGAAGACAGTGTAAATATATAGGACAGAGTTTTATTTTAATCTCCTTCCAGCAAAATTAAAGCATGATGAATATGCATTTTGGGGCTAAATGTGTGTTAAGTAATACGTGTGTTTACCTATCTAGAAAAGAAAAATAATCCAAAATATTCAAGTGCCGAAAACAATAGGTGGTAGTGTAGAAGCAAACAAAAATTATGATTTTAATGTTTATCATTGTATTTCGTTTAAGCTAATGACAGCTGTTGCTTACTGAATGGCAGTGATATGGCACTCACTAAGATTTTTGAAAGTAATTTTTGATCCATGGCATAAACATAATCTAGATTAAACTTAGTAAAGTAATTAAACATATATTTCAAATTAAGACTGTAAATCAAGAATGCTTTCCAAAATAAAGTCCTCTCAGAACATGTTCCTGTGATTTTAAATGGATCCAAAATCTTATTTCAGGATTATATAGGAAGGGTTATGTGAAAACATACCTCAAATTTACCACTGGGAGCAGAGAATCAAATCTGGGAGTGACCAAGGAATCCCTACAGCAGGAAGCTCAGAGAAGACAAGCAAGGACAGTGTGCTCACAAAGCTCAGAAAATAACATAGGAAGCAACTATAACTGTTGGAAGAGAAGCTGGACTAATCTCAACACCAAAGGGAATGAACTTATCTCAACACCAGAGGGTGTCCATCATTGTAGATAAACAACTGTGTCAGTTGAGGAAATGTAAATGGCTTTCCCTAAAATAATCCACAGGATGTACTGCCTTTCTGAGCCAGCCAGAGCAATAAGGGGGAAGTGCATATGTGGCTCAGGCAAAAACAATATAAAAACCAACCAAACTGACCCCTGAAGAGAAGAACTGGCTTCAGGAGGCTTCAAGCCATGTATTCTTCTTAGCTGAGGACACCCAGCATCATGACTAGTAATGTGAACCACGTTTGATTCAACTGCATCTTGCAATTGCTACACTGTGCTTGCGTTGTGATTTCAGTATATTGTTGTATCACTTTTCTACATTAAAATCCCTTGTAATGCAAATACCTTCTAATAAATAAATTTAGTATTAAAACATTGAATCCTTCTCATATGGAATATCTAAAAGAACGTGGTCAGGGAACACTCTGAGTACAAAAACATATGAGGAGAAGGGTTATACTTTATAACCATAAAATGGTTTAGAACTTGATGTTGTGTTTCACAAGACTGAGGAAAACCTGCTTTTATTTACCCATTCTCCTCTGGGATTAATCTTTGCTAATTAGAAATTTGGATAAGACAGAAAAAAACCCAAATCCATCATTAATTTTAAAACATAACTGAGTTGTTTCTAACTACTCAGCATCCCTTGAAATGAGGAGACTAGGAACGTTAGATTAGTAATTAGATCAGCTCACTCCAATTTTGCATTTTCAAAAAGAAAATATTATGTTAATTAGTGGGTTCTCTAGTCTCTATTTTGTGCTCAAGTTTTCATTCCTTATTTCCTCAATTATCTGGCATAAAAGAATTTATATAACCTACATGCTTTGCTGAAGAGCTATATTACAGCCTTGTAGACTTGTTTCTTGTATAAAATCCAGAGAATTTTGGCACACCACAAAGGGCAGAGCTCTCTTCAAACATCTGTGGTGAAAGACTGTTACCTCCTCATCTCATGGACTTACAGAAGATTTCTTCTTACCTATCTTACTGCCAATCTTTTACTACATTTGCTTTTAGTCCTTAAGCAGACATGGCTAATGAACGAAACATTTCGTAAGAAGAGACCTGTCAAGCTGGTAAGAACAGCCTGCCTCTTTCAGCTCTGAAATGCCAACCTCTCAGAGGTGAGTTACCAAACTATACAACAGTACTTGACCAAAATGGCTCTGAACATGAGGAGTTTATCACTATATCAATTTGAGGTTGCAAGGGAAATCCAAGTTTGCCACATGCAGGATAGCAGAATGTTTTACACAACCAGGCTGTATAAAAGTTTAAGCTCTAGATATCAGTTTCTCCTTTAGAAGACAACACCAAGATGCCACTATAAATTTAAGGTCAGAAGAGAAAGCCTGGCATTGATGGCATATTCCCAAACTCACCTGCCCACTGCCTATCTCGACACACATTCTGATTTCTTCCTCAGAAAAAACCATCCAAGGGCTCCAACACCTCTCACATCCAATTCCTACTGGGAATCATAAGTGGTACCTTATGGTACTACTTCTATGAGGCCCTGCAACACTCTTCTATCAGAATGAATGTCCTGTATCCCACAGCCCAAAGGCTGCAGCAATTGGTTTCCAAGCCCTGCTCTGTCTGACATGGTACTGGTCACTGAACTGCACCTTTCTGTCTTCTGGAGGGAGTGCCTCTATTGGGATCTAAGCTTTTCTGCATCACTTAATAGAGTGTCAGTTAACACAGTTAAAACAGCTCTGCAAGTCAGTGGTAGCAGAAAAAGACATGAAAATAAGCCAGTGTTGGCTGGGGCTCTTGTTAAGGGCGCAGCAGTTCTGCTCCAAGGAACTGATCCATATTTTACAGAAGGAAGCAGGAAGTACTCATCTGGGACAAAGGTTCTTCTGAATCCTATTCCTGTGAATTCAATTCTCTCTCTACACTGGATGAGTGAATGGCAGCGCTTCATTTGAGGTCCTGAGCACTGCGTACACCTTACATCACAGGCCTAGCTCCCCTGGATGAATTGAGACCACTGTGAACACCATGTGACTTCCTGCATCACTGTGGTGCTCCAGAGAGATTCTATTGCCAAACAAGTATATGATCAAGAGCACTAGAATGGGAGATACAAAGAAATACAACAGTCATGGTAGCATTTCTTACCTTGCCTAACCCACATCAAAGGAGAAACAAGACATCAGGTGGAAAGGGAGGCCACTGTTCATAAAGGTCATGGTGCTCAGTGCAGATCAGCTGCAAGAAGCTGATCAGGTGGGATTAGTACACACAGTAGTGCTGGATGCAGTCACTGTAGAAAACCACACTATGCATCTACTGAGCTCTATGGCCAAAGTTCACATGTTCCAGTGTGGGGCAGGCCAAGAGCATGTACCAACACTGTAGTGAAACTTGTGATCTCTCTAGTAACTGCAACTCAGTCTGATGCCATTCCAGTATTTGTCGAATTGAAATTCCTATTACTACTGTTGGTCTGTGGGCATTTAAACCCTTTTTACTTTATGAAAATACATATAAAAATGGAAATTTCTGGAAAAGTTTCCTTTAGAATATGTGTCGTTTTATTGGTTTAGACACTATACAGAATCAGAGTCCTTAAGCAATAAAAGAATCTGATCAGGGAAATAAAAATTTAACATCCACCATGAATTCTCCTCCTTTAACTATGCTAGTAAGGCTTTCATATTTATAGCTGAAGATTAACATGTTCATGGGATAATAAATTACACCGGATCTAATTACTACATCACCAGCAATACTTTTTCATAGATGCTGACAGGCTTTAAATTGGGATGCGTCCTTTAATTCTACTCTTAACCTTCAGATGAATCTCCCAGGCAGAAGTACGAAGGAAACAGAACAGTGGTCATGATGGGGACACAGTTCTTTCTGTAGACCACCAACCCTATGAAAACAAGATATTGCAAAAGTTCTGGTCCCACTTAAATCTATGGCAGAGTTCTCTTGAAGAGAGAGCGGCGAGGATTTCATCTTTGGTATCAGTCCACTGTTGGTCCAAACCCCTGGATGTAAGGTCAAGCATTTGTGTAGGTTTGAGAGATGAGAGTCCAAATGTTGCTGCTGTCTGTTAACCACTGAGGTGAGATGGGAGACAAAGCTGTAGGTAAGAGCTCCACCTCACCTGTTTTGCTCCTCAGGGGAGGTTTCTGTGTACTTGTGAGCCTCCCTGGATCCATTTGTAGTTTTTCAAGCTGCTGCTCCAAAATGACACATCGTCGCCGCTCTTCCTGAAGTCTCTTCTCTGCTTCCAAGACTTTATCACTGCCTTCCTCTATCCTGATATTAAAAAAAAAAAAAAAAAAAAAAAAAGGTGGTTCAAAGCTTAGTTATGCTGTAATTATAAAGAATCAGACAGTCTTAGCACTGAATCCTACTTCATGCTTCATAGCTCCCAACAGAGGGAATGGGAGAGTTTTCCATGCATCCAAACTCAGAAATCCCAATGCAGTTCTTCCAGATGACATCCTTTCAATTTGAAAAACAGAATTAACTAACGAGTATAATTATAAATAATAGGTTCATTAATAGAGGCTGCCTAGATCCCTCAACACCGGCCACTTGTGTGAATTTCCTACTCAGATGAGCAGGCAAACTGCAGAGAGCTTTTATTGCAGGAATAAAAAACTGCATTTTTTTTAAACATTGAGAAGGAAATTTGGAAGGAAAACAGTTTATGAAAACACTGCCTAGCATTTAGCTGTTCTGCGTCAGTTATGTGCAAGTACAAAAAGAAGCTGGATGTTACTTTTAATAAACTTGGTCATTGGACACCGCTATGGAAGGAAAAAAGTGGAAGAGGAGGCAATGGCTCATCCTGCAATACAATAAGGAAGAGCAAACTACCTCTCTGTTCACCTCCCATAACATCTTAGAAAATTAACTAAACGTGCACTCACAGATGCAGTCAGTGATGCTTCTCCTGGGGGCAGAGTCTGACATCAAATGATGAAGAGGAATTTAAAGCTAGAGAGAATCCTGAATGGACTCAATGTATTGGATGGTGCAGAATAAGAAAACTCCCTTGACCCCATGGATGATAGTGGATTATTCCTTGAATCAAAAGACATGATTAGCCTTATTTCCCTCCCAACTAACATAACTAAAAAAACATTACAACTATAATAAAATTATATCGCTGCATTTAAAAATCTAGCCACAGGCAAGGCTCTGACCTCCTGTGGCAGTGAATTACCATGCTGGTGACAAGCTATGTGAAGTTGTATTTCTCCTCCGTGGTTCTGAATTGATTAAACTATTGTTTGACCAGGTGTTCCCATAGCATCCACATACAACAAACAGTGGAGAAAAATGACAAGACTAGCTGGTTTTGTGAAATTTTACACCAATATGAGTAGCAAACTGAAACCTTGCTCTAGCTTTTCCCCTTCCCAAATAGGGCCCAACGTTACAACCTGCTAACAACACAGGGTGTTCTGACAGTATATTCTGCTCTGCAGTAAACAGCTGTGAAATATAGTCTTACATTCTAAAGCCTGCTGTAGAAAAATCCTACTTGTGTAACCATTCCCAGTGCTCTCCTCTTGGCTTAAGCACTGTATACATCCCTTGAGTTTGTTGACCTATACTCCAACAGAGGAAGGGGAGAGGAGGAATGCCTCCCTTTTTTACATATATTCCTGCTGAAATATAACTGGATGTTATATTATCCTGAGGACTTCCAAGAATTATTGCATACAATCTCACAAAATTTACTTTACCTGCAGGAGCCCGTGATAAATGTGTTATAACTGTGGAGCTGCTGAATCATCAACCTATGGCACATTTTACTTATAACTGTGCATTTCATTGCCTCTGTGTTCTTCATTATCCCATATTCACAATGGCCCCAATTCAGCAATCACTCACACCTCCACCCTTATCTAATTGCATAGCTCTATTAAAGTCACTGGGCTTACAGACATGAACAAAATGATCCCAGTGCATATTTCTAGGACTTATTCCTTAAAAGCACAGGAGATGATATGTTTTTTATAACTGTGGTAAAGGTATTTTTTGGACTGATTGTACAGAACAAAGATTAGATAAGTGAGGAATGATAACTAGTGCAAAATAAAGCAAGCAAGCAAGTAGTTCTTATCATTTTCAAAAACAGAGAAAAAATTATCTTCTTACAAGCTGGAATAGAGGTTTGGGAATGAGATATTATACACTTTCTGACTGGGAAAAATTCAGTGGCTGAATAGTTTCTAAAGAGCAAAGACTGCTTTGCTTGCCCTCTGAAAGCATAGCTTGATTTTAACCTTGTCTCAAATTGAATTGAATAAGAACAAAAATATCATTTCTATGCTTCAGTTAAACCAGAAGAAATTCATTTAAAAGGTGAAACTTAAAAGAATGTGAAATGCTTCTCAGGCAGAAGTTGGGTTATAATTACAATATTTCTTACTGATGAATAATACTGCTGTGTCAGTAATGCCATACATACACAAATACACCAACTCCAGTTTTATCGAAGTGTAGCAGGCTTGAAGATTACTCCAATTTTTCTGCACTTTAAGAAAATAAATAAATAATAACAAAAAAGAATCATTAACTAAGCAGTGAAATTGAGCAGAAGAATTTAAAAAGCCACTATTTAAGGAATGTATCACACTGGCAGAGCATAGCACAGCGGACAGCATGGCACCGACTCTCACATGTCTCAGCCACTCCTTAAGCACAGCATCCCATAAAGGACACGGGCAGAATCAGTTGCTACCTTTTCTGCAGCACAGCGACCAGTTCCAGGAGCCTGTCTCTCTCCACTTCTGCAGCCTGGCACAGGGCCTTGTGCTCTGTGATCTGCATTTGCAGCACTTTGAAATCCAGGCTGTCGATGCCAGCAAGCCTAAAAGCAGCAGAAGCATAAAAGTGTCTGTTTCCCATTTCACGAATGAAAGAGATGACAGCATTTGAAAAAACATATCAAAATACACTTGTCTGAATACCCAGCCAGAATGCACTGCTAGACTGACTACCTCTCCCCAACATCAATCCCCATACTGCAATATATGGAATATGTGGAAACAAAGCTACTCCTTCACAACAGTGCTCTGCTCTCCCTTCCCATCACCCTTGAAAACAAACTTCCCCTGCCATCAGTTCACAGACTCTCCTCCCGCTGCTGCTGCCAAAGTAAGAGAAGCTTACATGAGGATTCTCCAAAGTGCTACACTAGGCTATTAAATGGCTTGCTATTGATTTTCTCTAACTGAAAGGCTTCAGGCAGCATTAGTAAAATGGCCTTTCTTGTTCCTAATGTGTGATGAAATGAAGGGGCACTTTTTCCACGTATCTCTTTGTTATGCACTTCATTTCTCCTCTTATCTCTCCACACAGGAGTATTTAGGAATATCTCCTTTAGAGCCAAAAGCAGGAGAAACCTTGGTGGTTGAGGATAAAAAATTGAAAAAATGGGGCATAAACTAGCAACTGATTAAAAAAGCAAGACAGCAAGGGGACACTACAGCCTTTGTCAAAACCCTCTAACAGTATCAGACAGATGGTAAAAGAAGCTGCCATTACTAAAACAAGGCAGCTAAAGGCTGCCAGCACCTTGTGGAGTACAACAGGTTCTCTTTCTTGTTTCAGATAAGTTGATACACATACCTTCCAGGTGTGATGTTGCTACTGAGAAGGGAAGGTTTGGTAGCTGCTGATTCTATAAGCATATGGCCCATCTTGGACACTGTGCTAAAAGGAAGAAAGCTTTGTTAAACACTGACCTCTACAGAGGACAATCCTCCAAGAACTCTGATTTTCCAATGTCTGTGTTTATTGTTGCCTTGCAGGGGAGAGCCTCCTAGAGTCTCCTAAGGGAGTATCACACAGGCTTTGCACACACCATAATTCAGCTGCTGTCCAACCCCACAACACACTGCAAAAACACCTTGAGTGTTAATGAAGCTCAGTTTTTCATCTCTGTGCTTCTAGAGATACTTTGCTGGCACCTCATGCCAACAGTTTGTACCACAACATCGTAGCATGTGGATGTCTGTAGCCACAGAGCAACTGGTGAGCAGAACCATCAGAACCAACCTAATCCCTGTTCCACAACAAGGTGCAGAACTTTAATTCTTGAGTTCAGCCATCTGAAGGCAATTCCCTGTAGATGTAGCCCATGTTTTCTGGTCTTTAAGCTGCAGCTAACAGAGGAGAAAGCCTTAATATAGCATAACAGCTATCTAGGCTGTGACTGGTTAACCCATCCCAAAACCAAGTGAAGGTTGGTAACGACAGACATGGCCCAGTCTTAAACTGCAGAGTTTTACTTTAACATCTCCAAGGGACTTTAGATCCTATTTATAGCGTTTTTCATTTCATCTTTCTTGATAGGAAAAGATGATTCACTAAAATAAAATGGAATAGATGTTTCATCAGCTTATTAAAGTTAATGGAAAGAGTTAGCCCTGCTGACCGCATTATTAACAGCTCTTGCAGATTCAGACTCCTTTGCTGCCTACCTGACATCAGCCATTGTCTGGCCAGCACTATGTTAGCTACATGCACAAGCAATAATTTATGCATTGCACTTAGGGGCTCCTACAAAGCCTGTACCCAGCCCAGCTTTCATGTTCATCCTCTTGCTTAATATCAGCAGACATTTGAAGTAACTGGCAAAAGAAAAAAATAAGTGGATAGAACACAGATTTGCCCCATGAGAGTACTACATCTGTGAAGTTACGAGTCGGAGAAAAAAGCCAGTTGGGAGTGCAGAACCTTGGAGATGCTACCACTCTGCAGGAGAAACTTTCAATTAAGGATAGTGTTCTAACTCATTTCAGAACACTCCGAAGAGCCTTTTTTAAATTTTGTGGTAATGTTCTACTTAGACACAGGGAGACATCTGGTAATTTTCAAGTCAGTCTTGGTGTCTAAAATAATGTGGTAGTCTAGCTAAGGTTTCATAAGAGAAATTAGTTGGAACTTTAACATGGTAAAAAGTCTACTCCTTCTGAGAATACCCACTTCAACTCCTCCTTAGCAACAAAGCCAGCATTTTAACAGGAAAGAATACAGCTTGCTCTGGTGTTGTGGTACCTTCACAGAACCAGGCTGAGCCACAGCCTCACCAGTGTGAACAAAAAATCAAACTTACAATTGTATTAAGATGAGCATAACTTACATGGACTTCAGGAAGGCTTTTAAAAGGATGCTTGTTAAGAGTAAACAATGCGGTGTGTTTTCAACATATCTGCAAGGAAACACTACTCAAAGCATCTTTATTGATTTGAGCAATCCACTGGTGATTTACTGTTTACCTAAAATGGAGTTGTGTATTAATTTGCCACCCTATTTTCAGAATGCTGCTCATTAGAAGCCCTGTTTCTCCTAAGAGAGAAGAATCACAGGCACTTAAGCTAACCACATAAACATTATCTGAGCTGGAGAAAGAGAATTAGCTGCACTATCATCATGCCAAATGTAGTAATGTCTGCAAGTCTGTGTATCCTTTTCTGTTCCAGGACAAATATCCAAGAGACAATGTGATTACAGATTCCCATATACCGTAAACAGCCTGCCACAACCACTGGCACACAGCACTAGTGGCCTGATAAAGATGTCTGGGAAAACCATGCTTCTGAATAACTCACAGCAGTTTTAAAGACTGACATTAGGGTCTTCTTACCGAGCAGATGCAGTCCTTCCAACCTGATCACTGGCTGATGTCAGGGGCTTAAGCCCAGAAAAACGTAGATCTTCTGAGTGTGCACAGGGTGGTGTAAAAACAGCTCCTGAATTGTCCCCTTGATGGGCAGATTTCTTCTGTTAATGTTGGAGCAGGTTACAAAAACAATTACACAGTTCAAAGAAAAAGAGCTGCATCAGTCTGATCAGCAGATCACGATTATTGCTAGAAGCATGCCAGAACTTTTAATAAACAGGATCTGCTCAGAAACTTTTATTTAGTTTCTAATCATCGCAGAACATAAACAAAGCAAATGTCAGAAAGAAGTGCAGTTTCATGTAAAATCATAGGGTATACACATGTCACTAGAGAACCTACAGTGCAGCACCACCACTGCCAGTATGGTTGGTTTGTGTCCCTGTCATAAGATTTATCTTGGATTCAACACTCTAGCCCCCATTTCCAAGGTATTTAACAGATTCATAACATCACCATAACCCTACAAGGATTTTATATCTATGGGAACTGGATATCTACTCTTAACAAAACCAGACCACAGAAGAAGCCTTTGATATGTTAGTGGACTGCCTGTCAATTTCTATGCCTGTGTTCTAGCAATAGTACCATCTTGTTGAAGGCATTTCAATCTACTAGCCCATTAGCAGCCAATCCTGATTCTGGGCATGATGGCAAACTGCTGATGCTGGCAACTGCATTTGTCTGCCTGCATCCTTCAGCAGTCAAGGATGAAATCCCTACTGTGGCCCCATCTCTGCTGTCAGGTGTACCACATCCTGTATGTGGAGCCACATGCTGATGGCATTAATATCCCTATGTTTTCTGATGTTTAAACAAGTTGTGTACAAACAAGAAAGAAAATTAGAGTTACAAGAGAGAATTCCTGCATTGTCATTCCAACAGATGGGACTGTCAGTAAGGCAGGTCCCATCATGGTTAACATCAGAGAAGGAAGTGGAAAAGCAGATCTGAAATGATTACAAGTATGCTTTTCTAGTTCATTTCTTCTGACTACCTGAAGTGCGAGTTGCCCAGTCTCCTCTTCCAGCTCTTTAACCTTTGCTTCTCGTTCAGCCACCATCTGCCTGAGCTGCTCTACAAGGCAATTTTGTCTCTGAGCCTCATTGTTCAAGTGCTGTCCTAGCAGCTGCTGGGATTCTTTGTTCTTTTCATCCTGCTGGCTCAGGTGCTTTAAGATTTCCTGCATTTGTTTCTGCTGGCTCTGATAAAATAGAAATAATGAGTGAAATATACATTTTTGTACACAATGATTAGTAAGACTCTGTGCATGGTTTAGATCCTCCAAGAAAAATATGCATTTATGAGTGCTAGGGCAAGTCACTGCCCTATCAAACTCATTCTCTGGTGTAAGCAAATTGATGTCACTATCTACTCCTAGAATTTGGTCCATTATGTTTTAAGTATGAGGTTATCTTGTCTTCTCCCAGCAGATAACCATTAAAAGAATTGCACAGCACATCTGCTTGCAATGTCCAGATGTGTTCTGCTGGGTAATGACAGTCTGTCCTCATTGGTCATATCAAGGCTTTAGCACCAGGATGGTTCAAATTAGAAAGATCCAAGCAACTGAGAGAAACAGCTCTGCAAGAGCATGACAGTGGGCATATATTTCAGCACAACTCTACCTTGAGTCCCCATTTAGCACTTCTAATTTTGAAGGTACTACATCCTCTTAGCTTCAGCTACTGCAACCAGATGTGCCTACAGTCCAGTACTCCTGGTGAACCAGGACAGGTTCATGTGTTTTGGGCTGTGTAACACAGCAAATTAAAGTGCAAGACTGCAGGTATTCTCAGAGAAAAACAAAAAAAAAGTAAAAACAAGTCTGAGATCAAAATAGAAAACACAGTCCAGCTTTTTGAGTCAGACACGAAGCTCTTCCTCTAACTACTCAACTTCCCTATTTCCATCATTCTGCAAACTGTTTCTGTACAATGCTTACAGCTTAGAGCCATTCGATTCCAGCTGTAACTCCTGGTGCTGTTCTGCAGCCTTCACATAACCTGACCTAAAATGTAGAAGGGCTTTAGCTAACTGTGAAACCTCTGGCCATCACAGCATGATCCATCAGTTCCCGTATACTCTAAGGTTGTGTCACTGTGTCTTTAAATGACTTCACATTTCATCATTTATAGAAAGAGGGCTGACTGCAAGGGCAGTACCAGTAAGGCATCTATGAGCTCATCATCGTGTTTTCCTTTCTCCAGCAGGGTTATGATCTGTCCCTTCAAGGTTTTCACTTCGCTGCACAGCACTTTGTTCCTGGCTTTTGTTGCATCGAGGTTTTTTTTCACTTCCTCATGATTTGTTTTGAGAGCATCATGTTCCACAGTGAGTTTCTGCAGTGATGCAAACACATCAGAAGAAATGACAGTTATAGCCTGTCACCAAGCCCTGCATACTTTGGTGAGCAAAAGGAGTCGCATGTTGCCTGGAAGAACTGGAAGAAAAAAGGCAATGACATATCATATCCTTCCTAAATAGGTAGAAATTATAAATAGTACTGCTCACTGTCTGTTTGCCACCATCAAAAAAAGATCAGTCTGATCAGAAATACAACTAGACAAGGTTGATTCCGTATGTCAGAACGCACACAATAATTTTGTGTTACAGTGTAGTTCTGTATGCTCCTGCTCTTTTATTTGCCTCATTATCCTCCACGGGGATACTTTCTTACTTCCAGATACAGGCTGATAATTTCACAGTGCCTACTAGAAGCAGTGCCTGCCATATGCTGTTTCCTGAGCCATATCTTCACCTGGTTGAAACTGGTCAGAAAGCACTCTAATAGTCTTGTAGTAATGGACAAGTACAAGGAATCTGGGGGAGTGAAGCCTGAAACACAAAGGCAGAGTGAAGCCATGCAAATTACAGTTATCAAGAGAAACTCTCCCTGTGCTGCATGCCCGTGGCTATAAACCTTTTTCATTCTCACAGCTGAGAATGAAAGGTGTGTATTACCCCACTGCTCATTCTACTGCACAGTTAAATTGTGGTGGCAACTAATGAAGAACTGGAATGGTGTCAGGTGGCTTTTAGAGAAGTGAATGCAGGAAAAGAGCTTACAGAAATGTACTTTGCTAGCCTGTACATGTACAGGCTATACCACACCCCCTGAGTTTCTTGTGGACACAGAAGTTTGTATCCTTTCCATTTTAGGGTTTACAACACGTGCTATTAGCTGTAGCCTCTCTCACTCCATAAACACTGGATGCCTTTTTATCTTTGTAGCAACTAAACACAATAGATGGAGGGTACGAGCCATTTTCAAAATGCTTCTTGAAATGAGTCTGGTTTAATTCTCAGCTTTATTCTATTCAAATGTAGGAGCCCATCACCATAAAGATACATGAGGTGTGAGGGGCATGCTTGTATTTAACACTTCATAAAGAACGCACACCTGGTCATAAGGAGAAAGAGATCCTACAAAAATTGGATGCAGATGCAGCAGGGATTCTTCCTACATGTGACTACAGTGCAAAGTCTGTGTCAGCTGCACTGCATCCCTGTTCCTCCCTCCTACTGCCTAATGTCATATACCAGGCCTAGTTGTCAAGTGGCCACATTTCAGGCCAAGTAGTGCACCTGACATGTGAATCATGAAGCAGAGAGAAGACCTAATCATGTACTGAATGTTTTGCCTGGCCACACAAGAGTGCAGTGCAGAAAACAAGCATGGGAATCTTATGCACAGACTGTGAAGCATGACAGAACTTCCTCAAGCAGATCAGGTGGGCTTCCAAAATGGTCTCCAGCCAGGATATATAACATATACCCTGAAGGTAAGGCAGGATATTACACTAAATATCCCAGTGAGACTCAGATCAGCTCATAGGATTTTACCTCCAAGGCTTCTTTCCTTTCTTTTTCCAAACTGCGAATTTTCAGCAAGTTCTTCTCTTGGGCTGACAACTTCCTCAGGTCGGTAAGAGCCAGCAGCTCCTCATCCATTTCACTCAGTAATGTTCTGCTCTTGTTTTGACCCAACTGATTCTCCAGCTCTCTAACCTAGGGGACAGTATAGAGGCCAAGCACCAAAAAGCACATAAATAAAGGGAGCTCAAACCGCAGCATCTTATCATTTACTTCTTGACATTGTCATGGCTAACAGACACAGAGCAGTGAGTGTTTGAAAAAAACCACATTTGTTAGTTGCTAACAAACATGTGGTTGCCCAGGGCACCTGTGCAGGGAGGAGATATGACACAAGGTACCTAGCTTTGTTTGAGCTGTTCTGGGATGCTGGAGACACATAGGGTGCAGGATCTATAGGACATCCATACTCCTCTGGAGCAATGACCAAAGGGATACCCTGTGGCATCCCAGCTAGCATGAGACATCTGTGTGGGCAGCTGAACTCAACTGCTGCATCTCAGCTATTCACTGCAGGTTTATTTTATAGTCAGGAGAAGGAAGAGGGCACTGCTACAGTACATCTATTCTGCTCTTTTTTGGAGGTGTCTTCTGAGATAAGATGCACCCTGTTGATCTATTGACTGTAATTACTGACAAAAAAGGGGCCTGTGGAGTCTGCTTAGACAGAAATTTCTGCAGTAGAGCACAGTGCCTAATGTACAGAGTTCAGATGAATCTCAGACAAGGGGTCTAATGAAAGGAAAATGTAATTTGCCTGTGAGAATACAGAGATTAACAATTTCAGTCAATAAGAGTGCAGAAATCACTGTTCATTGGCATATAATTCAATATCAGAAAAATAGGAAGACTGTGTTTCAAATTACATGAGAGAAGTTTTATGTAAGACACTGACAAACTGTCTCTCTGTCCTAATCTGACATTTTAGCTACACTGTGCTCTTTAGAGTTAAAGACTTTACTTTTCCTGGGAGAAAACAACTTGAAAATCTTATCTGGCCTCAATTCTGCCCATGTGACTTCAAGCACTGAACAAAGATGTGCAAGTCAGAGCACAGATACAGACAAGGCTCCTTCTGTACTCAGTGGGGAGAGGCACCTTCACAACACCTTGGGATTTTAACTAAGCTGCCACAGCTCTCCAAGGTCACCAAACTCTCTCTTCCAAAACAGACACTACCTAGATAAATACTGGGGTTTGCATGGTTGCAGTAGACTAATTAAAATACTCTCTAGGAATTCTGAAAGATTGCACACATCGATACATATTTAAAATTTAACACATCACCACAATACGCATGCACACATGTGCACTAAAATAACATTCCAGAAGTTACCATGAAGCTTTTTGAACAACTGCTTTCCTCAACACAGAAAAGACTGATTATTTATTTGCAGTAAATACTTTGAACTGGGATACATAAGCAGGTATAGATGTTAAGAATGACTTAAAAAACTAACAGTTTACCTCAGACATCTTTCCTACAGCGAGCATCCCAGCACCCAGCTTGCAGAGCTCTATGCAAGGTCTTAACTCACCTTGCTTTGGAGAACAAGAATTTGCTGGGCTCGTCCACGCCAGCTGCCAGAATTGGTCAAGAGACTTTGGATATTCACATCCTCACCAACTTCATTTGCTAAGAGCTACAAAGAAGGGATTAACATTAGCAAAAAGACTAGGCTGAAACACATGCTAGGGAGAGAGGAGCAAAAGCCACTCTCTCTAGTGGTACACACAAAATACTGTATATATATACACAACTATAGCCTTTATTACCTGTACCTGATGTCCAGTACCCCATGTGATAGAAGCTCTTTCAAATCATTATCATCATACAGATTGTTGCTGCTTAGGAGGGTCTGACTAACAAAACTGGCTTTATTTGTTAAGGTAGATATTTTGATATTTCAATGTTGGGGTATTAGTCTTTGAATATATATATATTTTTAATGAGTCCGTATTTTGCTGCCTGCCTATTGAGAGTGCCAAACTGGACCATCTAGCTCTATCTAGTTGGGTGTTGTAAACAGTACCCACTACTCCTGACATCTAATATAGTTAGCATAATAGACATCATGAATCAAACTGCCACAATATGAAAACAGCCTAATCATGTTATCACTCCCCTTCTATCTCCTCTTTTGCACTGTCTTGAGAACATCTGCCACCAGCACTGCACAGCCACCAGGATGTGGTGACCCCTGTTACAGAACAAACAAGCCAGCTGTTGGCATTCTGATAAGGATGCTCTCAAAGCAACAGCACTGAGTTGCCCAGAGATGGTGACAGTTGTTAAGAATCAGGGAAGCGTAACATGAGATACTGACTACAAAATCAAGCGGCTGCAAGTGCTAAGTGGGACTCAGAACTGAAGTGCTGCTGGATGGCAAAACCTGTGCCCTCCTCAATGGTCAGTGATGCCTCCACCAGTGCCTTCCTCCTCCAAGGTCTGAGTGAGTGGTTTGTGTTCCTTCAGGTGAATTCAGAGTCTAGACTATAGACTACCACACGCTGATTAGTAGGAATTTGATCTACAGAGGATCCAGGTGATAAAAAATTCTAGGTGACTAAAAATTCTAAATAATAAGAAAGCAACAATACTAAAAAAAATGATGTAACAATAAACTATGATGGTTGCTAAGATTTTTATGCAATAATACAGCTCTAATTATAACCACTAACTTGCAGGCACTCCTTATTCTACCAATGATCTCTAAAGGAACCTGCTTGTTCCCCTAAAACCAGGAGAAAGATGTCAAACTGTGCTACCTCTTTAAGAAGAGCATTTCAAATTAATCACCAAGATTTACTAAGCATTACTAACAGTTTTCAAAGTATTTAATTATTTTATATATGATCTATAACTAGAACTAAGCAGGAACAGAATAGAGATCTTGCCTTAATACACACCCCTGCAATCAGGCATTAAGCCAATCTCTCTCACACAATTCTGAAAGAGCCACATTAACATGAGCTAAAGTTAGTATGATGAGCATTTAAATTATTTATAAAAAGGTCAGCAGAGTTCTATTTTTAGAACCATATTCTCTACTCTGATCTGCATTGCAGGTCTCTTACGCAAAGTAATGAAACTGAAGGAAGCAGAGTACAGAGTAAAGCATTAAAATCCATCATGAATCAAAAAGGAAAAGGTTACTCTGGATGTCACTCCACCAAGCTAAAGCACGTTTAAAGGTGCTTTAGTTCAAGTATGTTCTTTAATCTCATTAATGTTCATGGGACTGAAACCTACATTAAAAGTAAATACATAATTAAATGCTTTGGAAAAGAGGAATGGATCTGAATGCATGCTTCAGGTCAGTCAAAACCTATTTTGCTGGACTGAAACATTCAAACCTTCAAGTACCTCTACCAATGATATGAGCAGAAATAATGGAAACATTCATCCACCTCATGGTGGATGCATCTCCAATGCAACCACTACATCTCTGGTCTCTTATACTCTCAGAGCTCACTGGAATCATGGAGGCTAAAGAAAGCTCCAAGAAAAAGAAGCCATCTTCTGATTTCACGAGTGAGATCGTGCCCAGGATCCCAGCCACAGACTTTGTCCTGGAACAGTACCTTTTGGGTCATCTTCAGTTCCTGCTTTGCAGATTGCAGCTGGTTACGATACTCCAGCACTTTGAAGTTGGCTGTAGTTAATTTTTCTTGCAATGCTTTCACCTCTGGACTTTCAGCCTTTGAAGAAAAGAATGGATTTGGTAAGAACAGAATCTGCAGTGAAAAACTGAAGTTATTATGATCCACAGATCCAACAGAATCTCTTTTTTCCATTCCCTACTTTCTAGGGTACAGAGGAAGTGAAAACAGAGCAATCTGGCTACAGAATTAGTGATGGGGACACATCCCTGTCATAAGAGAAGAAATGCACAACAGCAAAAAACTAAATATCAGCTATTACTTCTGATCTGATTTCCTTTCCACAGGTACAATTCATACCAAGTTTTCTTCCGTCTTCTTCAGAGCTGATTGCTTGATTCCTGCATCACTGCCACCAAGAGAATGTATTTTTTCCACAGCTGTCTGTAGCTGGAAAAAAAAATGCACTATTATAAAGCAAATACAGTGAGGAGAACACCTTCATTGAAGATTAACTGGTAAATAATATAACAGCAATTTTATTGACCCTCTAAAAAAAAAAAAAAAGAGACCTTATTTCCCCCTTGTTTTTAAATATAACCAGTAGAAAACCCTTGTCCTGAAATGCTTCCCAAATAAGCTGGTAGTATTTTATTGTGGAACAACTTCAGTGTTTTCTGGGGAATTTTATCATCAGAGGTTCATAAAATAAGTATTTATATATATCAGTGAATGCCCAGTTCAGTGCAGATCAGGATGATGTTGTTGCCAGTTTACTCACTTTTCAAGAAAATCAGGACATTCCATAAAAAGCACATAACTCTGTCCAACAGAGGAATTTAAAAGGAGACATGACAACCTAATGCCCTACATCTGTGATTTAGTAATGATGTCAACACCCATTTTCTTTAGCTAGTATAGCTTTAAAATAGTATTTCTCAATGCATAAAGCATATGTCTGCTACTGCTTGCACACAGAATGAGAAGGCAAAGGCACTGTCATCCCCCCTCCGAATCATGTATTTTTTTATTGAGACTGTAAAGACTTCTTATAGGACCAGAATGCAGTTTGGAGCATAAAAGTTTGGGAAATGTTGCTTTAAGGGGCTGAGATTTCATTCTTTGAGGTGGGAAGAAAATCTTGATAATTTGCCTGAATAAAAGAAAGCTCTGAGGAATAGCTTCCTTATTACAGCCATATGTGGAGAGAGTGCCATTCAGAGCCACTTGAGCCTTTCTTTGCAAAGAAATCCAAGCTTAGGGCACCCTTCTGTCCAGTTCATAAACTTTTAGCTGGTGGCAGCTACTAGGTCAAATTCTAATCATGTTTTCTGCAAAGACCCATTTATAATCTTTGTTTATAAGTACCACTCTTTGCTAAGAAATTGCTCAATGACCACACCATGCATTTTGTTTGTGGGAACACATTCATCTTAAAACACTCATGATTTCCATATTTTTCAGTTCTCATGCAAGCAAAGAGCTAACTATAAAATAACAGTGTTTTCCACTCCTGTGGTAGTGATGTATTTATAAGGTACCTTCAGTATAATTCATTTCAGACATGGCTTACTGGGAACTATTGGTGATAGGCAGACAGTTGGACTGGGTGATGTTGGAGTCTTTTCCAACCTTGGTGATTTTATGATTTCACTGAGTTTAAGCCATCTAGCAGCAGGCATATGGGATGAGATTCAACACAAAAATTAATGCTTTTCCTGCTCTCACTGTGAATGTCTATGTTTATAATTCACGGAATCTAGTCAATACAATCATGGAAGTCTACTCTTCAGCCAGGTCTACATTAGGGCAAGTGGATGCATGAATTGAGGGCTCTGTTTTTGCCCACATACAGCTGTCTCGCCCTGTTTGAAGTATCCTACACCTATAATACCCAGACTACCAGTCCTGTCACATCTAACAGCCCTGTATGGGTGTCTGAGAGGTGAAGCAGTGCCTCAAATGATGCTTTTTTGCCTATGAGCAGAGAACTGAAATGTACTTTAGTTGTCTTGGTTCTTTCTATCATCAGTGGAAAAAGATGAGTGCAAATCATCAGCTTAGCTTCAAATTACTAAATAGATGTAAATCTGCACGGGTTCCTATCTGTGGTAGCTTTTCTTGCACATCACTCAACATTTCATAGAACCATAGAATGGCCTGGGTTGCAAAGGAGCACAATGCTCATCCAGTTCCAACCCCCTGCTATGTGCAGGTCACCAACCAGCAGCCCAGGCTGCCCAGAGCCACATCCAGCCTGGCCTTGAATGCCTGCAGGGATGGGGCATCCACAGCCTCCTTGGGTATTTCTGATAGATACCCCCACATTGTAGTTCATCTCTATCTCAGAAGAGACAAGTTGCTTCATTTGGTTTTGATTTTGATGGTGCTAATATCCAAGGAATAGATTGGTTCGTATCTGAGAAGTTTACCACTGCTTCAATCAGCAATTACTGTTTCTTTATCTCCTTTTCTGAAGTGTCTGCAATAGTTTTCTTTTGGGTAAATATCAGAGAGAATATTTGAAGTTTCTATCTGAATAATGGTCATTGTACTTCTTCAGCAGAGGATTATAAACAAGACAATTTTGTTCTGGAATATTTCCTGTAATTATTTATGGCTTGCTTCCCTATGTGTGGGACTTCAGAGGTCTCCAGCTATGCCAGATATTTCTTAGTCTTCCAGCCAGAATGGCTGGAAGACCCTTCACAAGACCCTTCTGACCAGAACTCTCTTCATTTATGCAGTTCTCAAACATATCATCCAACACTTCTCCATCTTTCAAATAATAGGTACAATTCCAATGGATGAATCATTCATGACAATATGTGATTGCAGAAGATGGAGTCAAAATGCATTTGTCAGGTAGCAAAATAAATGTTATCGATACATTTAAGTCTTCTGAGGAGGCAAAGTGCAAGTGCAGTAGAACACATTAAAAACGATCAAAAATTTACCAGAAGTGTATAAGGAACAACAGTAGGAGCCAATGAACAAAGTAAACATTGAGATCAGGGCATCTAATTTTCATTTCATCTCAGAAAAATCAGCCCTGTGAAAGGCCAGCCCATATAAAAAAGTCACCCTAAACCAGAAAAGCACATCTGCCTGAGTAAAGATCTGCTATCTTAAGTGATATAGTTTGTCCTTACCTCAGTTCAGACAGCATTTATGCCACTTGTGCTTCAAAATTTAAGTGAACATTCCCAAATGGCACTACACACATCTTTGGCTCGTTATAACTTTCTGATGTCCTCTCCTAGCTCCTCCTTTCTGCAACAGTGGAAACAGCTGAGGGCACACATCCCTCCCCTCCCAGCACAGATAAAAATGATGAGAACTCCAAGCATGGATGCAAGAGCAAATTCAAAATGGCAACATGAATCAACCCCACAGCTGCTACAGCTCCTCAATCCCAAAAGCTGGACTTCTGTGTTCTAGCATAAAGAAAACAAGAAAAATGTCTCACTTCTCTCTCCAGCTCTTTAACTTTGTTATTCAGTTGCTTTACTTTGGCTTTTTCACTCTCAGTCTCGGCAATTATCTCCCGGTTCTTTTTGGCCAGTTCAACTATTTTAGTAGCTGCAACATCCCCTGCTAAACCAGACGTCCCTGGAAAGTACACAAAAAAGCAAAGGATATTTTTTACAGGCAAGAGTCACAATAGATGATGCTTTTGTTCTCTGTCCAGCTCACAGTGTACTGTTATTGTCTAAGCCATTTCTCAGCACTGTGCCAGGCACTTAAATGAGTAATAGAGGGAAAAGAGGCAACAGTGATTCCATCTGAATTGCTTGGTTATTTGAACAAGCACTACAGTGTGACTAGCAAAGCCACATTTCACACTTTAGCAACAGCCACGTCAAAAGACCACAACAATGGTCATAGCAATATTTCTACATGGAAATGGTAGAGATGTTTTCTGCTCATCGCTGTGAAGGGCTGCTATGACCACGTGGCATAATGTGGTATGTTACAGAAAAACACAACACTCTATTTTGCACTGGTTGTTTACTTCTGGAGTTGTTGAAACAGAGGTGTAAACTTTGATAGACATCTGTCCTTAAAGGTCAGGGACATTATTGCAGTTGGGTGCTGGATAACATCCAGGAGATTTCTTTGTGCCTATTTATGTGTCCCTTGTGATTACACACGGAGCTTTACTGTGATCTTTTAAACAGGCACTTCACTCACTTCCTCACCAGAGAGGGTTAATTAGTGTCACAGATAAAGAAATCCCTGGAATGCCTCGTGCAGCCTTGGCTTTTGTTAATACCACAGAGGTGAAAAAAGTTTTCATACAAGTGCAAAATTGATATAATTACACATAGTGCTCAAGAAAACCTCTTGCTCAGCCTGCAATAACACCTTACATTTGGGCTAGCTGTAGACTGAGATTATGTACAATGAATTAGCTGTTATCGTTCTTTTTAACTCTTTCACCCTCCTTCAGTATTCCTAGTGATTCTTCTCCTGACATCTGTGAAGATTAAATTCTAGAATTACAGTGAGATGCAAAGATGACAGACTACTCTTAAATGAATTCTGAGTCCCATAAAACCTCTGGAGAGCTCACCGAAGCTATGCAGAATGCAGGTGAGAACAGAATGTGACCCCACATCACTATTTTAAAACCTGGTAAATAAGAAGTTCATTATTTTTAAAAGCATTTCCACTGTTGTTACTTCTTTATCTTATATGTTTCCTCTAGCAGCTATTTATTCCTTAGCTTTCATAACAAAAAATGGCTGCTAAGGACTACAGTACATACTAAACTAACCTAGAAACAGGCTCAGGCCCCCATGCAGTGTCTTCAAACACATGGCACACATTTAATTAAAGATTCTTGTTTCCCTGAAAAGCATGGGAGTCTCTTGCCACAAAGTAGACAGGAAAGACAGAGGTGTGGAGCAAACTGCCACAGGCTGGTCGTTTGCCAGCCAAGAAGCTGCAACACCATTTCTGGCTCCTGTCTTGACCCAGTAACACCGTATCACCTACCCTAAAAAGCTGCAGCTAATTGTTAAGAATGAAAATGTAATATATGCATTATTTAGTTCTGCTTACTGCTGCTTTTACCCTTCGCTACCAGCCAGGTCACCACCGCTGTCCTGCACAACAGTGGCACCCAGTGGAGGAGGTGCAAACTGCACAATTCAGTCTTCAAAGGCCGTCCAAACAACTTCAAAGCTGGACTTTTTGTTGAGCCAGCATTCTGCATGTATCCTATTCAGGCATTTAAACAAAAGAAGCCTGAATAAGGAATTTAACACTATGTAGCTGAGAAACCTGCAACGCTGCTCTTTGACATTAATAAAAAGGCTTCTAAAATTTCTGAATCATCATTTTTTGTGCTGATAGTGGCAAGTTTGTAGAGCTGTGAGAAACACAAACTACTGTGTATCCCAAAAGAGCACAGTAATTCTTTAAAGGAACATATAATTACTGATAACAATATTCTGTGTCTTTGGCCTGACACGTCTGACAATATCAGACCACTTCTTGTCCTTCAAGAAGCTTTCTAAGAAGGGCAGCAGTAGCATTCAAATTTTGCAGATTATGAAACTGAAGGAAAGACTAAGAAGTAAGATGCAAGTAAGATGTACACATGTCAATCCATGTGTACATGTTATCATGTCAAATCACTGCAAGGAACTTCCCACTGCCAGTGAGACTCCCAAATTGGAGAGACACTGGTGTTTAGATAACTGCAAATGCCAAAGTGTCAGCTTAGGCATTGCAATTTTTTCTCAGTTATAAGAGCTGAATTTGGATCTTCTTAGCAGAAGTTTATTACAGGAGTGGAAATGGAAGCAAGCACATTATGCCTGAAACACTCCTTTTTAGCACAGAACAGGTGAAATAGATGTCACATAAATATTCTACTTCCAGGAGGTTTATCTATCTCACAATGATGTTGTTTTTCTCCTTTTATTGTCTTCAGCAGCAAGCAAACACTGGAACTAGTGTAGTGTGAACACAAAGCTACTCTGATTACCTGACAAAGCCAATCGATCCTCCTGTATTTTTTTCTGCAGTTGCTTTATTTCAAAATCTTTTTCTGTCACCAGTTTGTACAGCCTGCAGTTCTCATCTCGGACCTCTCGAAGCTGATCCTGGAGTTGTTCATGCTCAACCTCAAGCAATCTGACAAAAAAAAAAAAAAAAAAAAAAAGGAAGTCATAATGGCAGATGTGTCACTAGAATGTGTTTCAAACAGATGCTTCTAGAAATAAAATAGTGAAACGACTGTATGCTGAATGAGCTGAGCTCACCAGGAATGAGTTTACTGAATTAAGCAGAACATCCTGAACACCAGCTGGCCATCTGATATTTCACCTATTCAGTTAGCTTATGTCTTTTTCAAAAGTTTTGCATTTCCTTGTGTTCTCAGGAGCAAAACATCACAGAGCAGTTATTTTTTCCAGGACTCCTGAGGCTGCTGAAGTCTCATCTCATTCAGACTTACCTACCTGGTTCTTCAGAGGAAACAGGTGGGCTTGCCATTCAGCACCTGTGCAATTCAGGCTTTACTTTCTATGCTTACCAAAGCCAATAGAAGCCAACAGAGCACAAATTACAAAAGCTGCTACTGAGGTTCTTTCTTCAAAAATGAATGCTTCATAGCAATTCAAAAAAAGATCAATTTCCCACGTCCTCATTTGATTTTCTTGGAACTCCACAGGATGGACTACCATCAGTTTCTATTGTTAATGTTACTTTTTGGAATTCACTTAGGAAAAAAGAATACCAAAAAGCCCTCTGAATGAGAGGAAATAGCCTTGCTCCTCCAATTCTCTGGTACACTTAGTAACATTTATGGGTTTCATTTCTCTCAGACATTCAGGGAATGAAGAACTTTAATCTCTTTGCTGTCCTTTCATGACAATTCCTCTAAATGTAAAATCTGGAAGTTAGGGCCCTGGGGGCTCAATTAGACTGTGAAAACACAGACATCTATCCAAGGTGTCCCAGAGTTATCTGAGCCCACTATCTGGTGAAGAGATGCAATTTGATTATCCACATATAGGTGCCATCAGAGCTGCCCACCCAGCCCCCAGCTGCTGGGTCTCCTGCCATTCCCATGTAGATATCCCTGACACCCTAGGGCATCCCAGATAGCACAAGGCACCAAGCAGCCTGCACTGTGACCTTGGATATAGGCATTTTGTGTCTTAATCTGGAATAGAGTCCCACGCCTTAAGCCTACAGACAGATTGCTCCAGCCTGCAGCTGGTGAAGGAAGTAAGTAGCCTGGGTGATCACACAGATTTGGATGAAGGCCTGTTGTTTCAGTATGTGGCTATAAGCACAACCAGAGCCAGATGTCATCTACCTCAACAGTCACCTCTTTTCTCTCAAAAGTTTTAGCAAGTTTTTTTGCTCAAACCAGTCTCTTAAATGCACACTCTATATGTGTATGTCAGAATAAATGACCCCTTAAAGCAATGTTATAAACTACAGAGGCAATTTATAAGATGATTCACAATCCATAATTAAGCAATGCACTTCTGTTCCAAAGCTGAAAATCAAAGGGAGATCAAAGTCAGTTGTTTACGAAGCAGAAGAAAGCAAGAGGCAATCTGAGCAGAGAAAAGACAAAACTAAATTATTCCCACACGTACTACACACAGAAGTTAGCAACAAAACTGTGCTGATTGAATGAGGAATACATGGAGAAAAACATTTTCATGTTTTGAAAATTTATTACATGTTATGAAATTAACATGTAAACAAGGTTCTGAGCTCACAGCACATCTGATCAGAGATCTTTTCCTCAGAGCTGGCTTCAGAACCTTAAGAAATAGCACTTGTAGTAAAATGGCTGGAAATCCCAACTGCACAGAGCTGGAGTCTCATCTGAGAGACTTCTTCCCACCCCCTCACAGAATGACTCTATACATTACAAAGGAGGTTCCTACCCAAGTGGTTCAGCAATGGAAAAACAGTCAAAAGAAACAAGCTGCAGAAAGCTCACTTGTTTTACTGTAGTTCAAAGAAACAGAGCCAGGGGAAGTTTGTAAGCAACATCTATAACGTTATGTATTCAGGTATCTTTCCCAACTCTTTAACAAAGATTCTCCATTTGATGGGGAAAATCACTTAATCTTAAAGGCACTAAAACAGACAAAGTTACAGAAAAACAGACAGAAATGTCAGCCAGAAACATGCCTGAATAAAAACTGGAGGAGGAACGGAAGGAAGGAAAAATGAACTCCTGAGGCCCACAGGAAGGATGACAACTGAGAGGAGGAAGTGCTGCTGTAAACAACATGGACATACAGAAATCACTGCCGCTGCAGACCATATGGAGGGAGTCCTTGTACTTGGGAACGACTTTCTAATGTGTTGTCATGGGAATATAGCAACACAATATCCGTACACAAGGATGAATCCTTTCCAGAAGCAAATCCTGCCTGGATTTGATAACTACTCTTCTGTCAAACGTAGACATACACGAACAAAGCACAATCCAGATAAATCTGTAGTTTGCTATACTTGGTATGTCAAATGAGGACTTCTATTGGTCAATGCTAGTGAAAAAAAAAGAAGAGCTAGGTAACAGCTCTTGAATTACTCAGACCTAAATTACTGAGCTGCAAGTGCCAGAGAAGCATTGCCAGAATTGCTGGGACTGTCCTGTACACTGCAGCTCACTCCACCAGTATGCCACAGCAACTCCTCAAATCCCTTTTCACCAATCAAATTCACAGCTGAAATGTGGGAATCAGTCTCCTGCAAAAATAAATCAAATCTCCAAAGTATACTTTAAGTACTATCATAAAAAATGTTGAAGGGGACAATTGGTAAGAGGTCAGATCAGAAGCTTACACAGGGAAATCAGACAGCCATGGAGAGGGATCTGTGTGTGAAGATTTCCATTTTGTGTGGAAAGCAAGAGGGAGAACTTCAGTTTCTTTCTGAAAGCTCAGCTCCCTGCTTTCACACAGGTTTCTCTTGCAGCATGAACCATATTCCCAGAAGCACCTGAAAACTTCACTGGTTCATTCCCAGCTTCTGCTGCAGCATACATAATTGGGTGTGAAGCAATCTTCAGAAACAAGCTGCCCAGAGTAACACAGAAGGAAGAACAGCATTTAGGGCCAATAAAGCTTGGTTAGTGGCCTGATAAGCCTTGCTAGAGGTGTCTTTTCCCACTATAGATTATGGGAGGGAAAATTGTCTCAAAAGTACATACCTGTGTGGCTTTCCACCTGTGATCTGCAGGTTTTAGCAGAGCTGGCAGCTCCTTCTACCCACCCATGTTCCACCTCCCTATCATGGCAGCAATAAAACAGTTTGTGTGGCTAAGGCTATAATCTAGATCACTGAAATGACTTGAGATAAAAATACCCTTGTCCAAGAAATTGAATTCAGTTTCCAGCACAGCCCTGAAAACAGCTGTATCAGTTGACCTGCAAGAGGTGAGCAGAAGCAGGAATTTTTTAAGCTGTCTTCACCACTTAATAGAGAGAAAATCACAGAAGAACCAACACTGTAGTAACAGTAGACGTCTTTGGGATCTGTCCAACTCCAAACCTGTTCTGGTTCATAAAAATACAAATAAATTAATTGTGTCAAGAGGCACTGACTACATCCTAGGAGGAAGATGGATGATCTGAGCTGGGATTTCAAATCTGGCCCAGTAAATTGAATAGTGCACTCAGCTTCAAATGCAAGATAAAGAAAGATTCACAGTAGAATATGTAGTATCCTGTTAACCCAGATACTCCCTCAGTGGGTGAGATAAGACCCAAACCTCTGACCCTAGTATGATTTTAAATCCTACCTTGTGTATCCCTGTCAAGTATCTCACCCATGAGGCAACCTTATCTATGAGACTCTCCTAGACATATACTTCATCTCCCATGGCTGTCTTTTGACCTACAAAATCATGTCATTTGCGAAAAAGATGTGGAGGAACACTTCTCTGGGCTGCAGGCCTTTGGTTTATACCCGTTAGCTGTATGATGCTTTGCACATATTGGTCTGTGCACATATTAGTCATGTAGAGAACCCGTTTACAAAGCTAGGCAGGAACTAACCAGCAGTTCAGTCACTCTGAGTGTCTGGAGATGGTCAGGTAGTACCTAGCTGGTACCTTAACCCCTCTGTCCTGCAGCTCTCTACTTGTGAAATGCTGAAAAAATAAAGAGCATATCACAGTGCAAAACATATCAGAGACAGTGAGAGTCTTCTCAGGATAATGGAAACTGAACTGAAGACAAAGTGCTCTTCTACTGTGACTTTCATAAGATCATATGCTAAACATACTTTTGGTGATCTCCTGAAGAAGCAATGCTGCTACACTTTTACCTTTTGCTGTCATCTTCAATTACAGGTTGTTCTGTTTCAAACAAGTTTAGATCAGTTGGGATGTTGAAAGTCTCCTTTCCATTGCCATTGTTACCCTTCTGACTGTTCTGCTTTTCCTTCTTCCTCTCCATTAGATTCTGTAGTCTTCTTTGCTGTTGTACCTGAAGAGCTTTAAACTGGCTTTTAAAATGTTCGTTCCCACTTATGTCTGACTCCATTGCTTACTAAAAGCATCACAAGAAGAAAATGAAGAGCAACAGAGAGCAGAGATCAATATCACATTCAAAACATCCTCTTCTAACAGCTGGTTTGTAGTTTTTCCACACCGACCTTTGCACAGTCTCCCTGCCACCACCTCTCAGTCACCATGCTCTTCAGCCTCACTTTAATGGCCTTACATCACAAATGCCTTTCAAATAGAAAAAAATCTTCAGGTCTATCTTCTCTAACATGAAAGAAGTATTTTTTAAACAGATCCATTTAAAACAAACATCTTTAGAGAAGAGCAAGTTGGGGCTGAATTGAAGCTAATGTAACAACCATGTTACAGAGACTGAAAGTCTCTTCACCCAGAGGGTGGTGAGGCACTGGAACAGGTTGCCCAAGGAGGCTGTGGATGCCCCATCCCTGCAGGCATTCAAGGCCAGGCTGTGTGGCTCTGGGCAGCCTGGGCTGCTGGTTGGCGACCTGCACATAGCAGGGGGTTGGAACTGGATGAGCATTGTGCTCCTTTGCAACCCAGGCCATTCTAGGATTCTATGGTCCCTGTTACCTTCACGCTCCCTTTGGGCACCAAGAACATGGCTGACAACCTCCCCCCATCTTTCCAAGCACTGAGTGGTAACATTAAAGCAACAGTATTACTATCCACTTCAATGCCTACCCAAGTTTCACAGTGATTAAGCCGATCTGTTTTCTAGAGTGTTCCAGCCCTCCCTCCTCCTGCTTAACACCAAGTGCACCTTTGGTCTGACAAAACCAATGGCTAAAGCTCCCACAGGCACGCCCTGCAGACAGCGATTAGCTGGGCCTATCTCACCCTGAGGCAGCCAGCAGCCTGATGAAGGACAAAGTGCACCTGCGTGTCTCTGAGGGACTTTATTCAGCACCAAGCCTCGCTGGGGGCGAATTACAACCTGCACCGTTACCCCTCCAGACTGGGACGTGCCACAGCTCACCCTGCGCACCGTGACGGGCCCTCAGCCTCTCTCCGCCGGCCCACCCCCTCCGAGCCCCCGGGCCCTACCTACCCGGCCTCCCCCAGCCCCGAGGCCGGCGGCGGAGCCCTCAGAGCCCGCGTTGGCACGGTTGTACCCAGCCCCTCCGCCTCCCGGCTCCGCCGCCGGCCCAAGCCGTTCCCATAGCAACAACGCGCGGAAGGCGGAGCAAAGCGCGGGGCCGCGCATGCGCACCGAGCGGAGCGCCGCTCTCCTCAGCGCGGCCGCCATCTTAGCGCCCTCGGCCTCCCGCCGACCCGAGGCGGAGACAGGAGCCACCATTTCTCCATCCCGGGGAAGAGGAGGGCGATTTACAGCTAAACGAAGCGGAGGAATTTCCGCCTGCCCCGTAGCAGCTGGAGGTGCTTTCCAGCAGCCCCTTGGCTCAGCACACCGCTCCCCAGCCCGGCCCCTCAGGAAATCCTCACACAAACATCGGTTATCTGCAGTGCTCCCAGCTGTTTATTCACATTGCATCACACGCTCCTCCCCACGGCGACGTATCACAGAGTGCACACCTTGTTTTATTTGTTAGACGTCATATTGGCACGATGGAATGTAGGCTAGTCAGAGAAAAGTAGGTTTTTTTTTCTTCTTTTTTAACCAACTCACTTCATCAAGACATTTATTTTTGTGACTGCTGTTAGAGATAGGAGGGGTTCCTGCATAAAATCACACTGTCAGTTTATGAAGGTTTTACACCTCACTCAAGGGGCTCTTCAGATGCAAATGCCTCAAAATTTCTATGGGAAAACTTTACTGCATAAGACAGAGCTAGCTCACGCTTCAAAAGCATTAGAATGCCAAACCCAGACATACTTTAAATGTTACATTTAAATATTAGCCAGAAGAACACTAAATAAAGTTACAAAATACAGTACTCCAAGGGTCTGAAAGCCTATGGTAAAAATAAGGAGCCTGTGTCTTCATTAATGATGAATAAATATAACATTTAAATAGCTGAAACACACCAAATAACCTCACGCCTTAAATAAAAAAATAAAATAGATGTTTATAGATCTCTCTATTTTAGTGGTCAGTGCTACTGGAAGCTTCTAAATCACAAAGCTGGAGGCTGGCAATATACAGGACAGAAGATGACATGAAAATACAGTGCTATCTTACAGACATAGCCTCTACACCCTGACTGAGGCCTAGCAAAGCTAGCTCAGACTTTGTCATTTTGGGCAATGGCAGCAAGAGAAGTCACCAATTGTAGGGCTGAGTAAAACAGCCAAGGGGAAGACTATGGGTGCTTTACTATATCCCCTAAATAGGGTATGATAGTGCCAATCAAAGAGAACCCGACTGCCATACCCATTCGCCTAGTATGCAGTCATTTAGGCTGCCAGCCTCAGAACAGCGTACCATATACAAAAATATAGGGCAATTCTCTAAAACGATATATTTTTTCCCCTCAAGAACCCCTTGATATGAGGTTTATAGATGCAGTACACAGGTCACCACCGGGACAGATTTAGGTCATCCTTCTATTACTCCTTGGGCTTTATCACGTACTCCCGGAACATGGAATACAGCACACCTACGTGACAGAAAAAAACACAGAAAAAGAAAGCTGGATTGTATACAAAGTGTTCAAAATCTGAACTCTGAGATTCTGAGCAACAGAAATAGCATTTCCCTTCCTTTTCCGTCATCTGTGGTTTGTGTGGTTGGTTTTTGTTTGTTTGAAATAGTCATGATGAACACTACAGATTTTTTTGTACACAGAAATTTTCCTTGTTGTACACAAAGCCCCAGCCAACTCTAGTCTGCTTTGCAGCCAAAGTCAAGCTCTGCTCTTGCACCTTCTGGGAACACAGTTTAGGCAAGCAGCATTTTGTGGGATACTCATTCAAAACACACACACTGCTGAAATACTTGAATAGGGCCTCGAAGTACAGATCCCTCAGTACATTCAGGGACAATTCCTGGCAATAATATCACTGTCTATGCAAGCTGGCTTTCCAGTGCATTAAGTTCAGAAACAGCAACATATTTACATGGGAAAACATTAACAGCAGGCAGTCTTTTATCTTTGCTTCTGATTTCAATACCTCCAGAAGCTTCCCACATGTAAAAGTAGTCAAAACTTCTACTCTCAAAGCTAGCGGAGTTTAAAACTCAACATGTAATACAACATCTACCAGCAGAAAAAGAGGTGCAAGAAGGTGTCCACAACCCTGCTCAGTACGTACCACACGTTATTGCTCCTACAACAAAACCCTGCGCTGCCACACGCATGTGAATCAGGTGAAGCGACATCTTTGTGTTCCCCCGATGCTTCAGTTTGTACAGCCCATAGCCCACCACCACGGCAAAGCCAGCCATCCCTGCAAAGGAGGAAAACATCCACGTGAGTAAGGATTACCTCCCACATCTTGGTGACTTTGATCTGCCTCAAGAAATCCTGAAAGTAAGCATGTTTTTGTCTGATCTCTCTCCGCACACAGCGCGAGTCCCTGTCCTTCCCACTGCTTTCCACCTCATTTAAGTCACAAGTCAGCAGGGAAGACAATGACAATTTCCAATGGTGTTAAAACATAACAGCAGAAACTCAGGGATCATTCTGAAGGTGTCAGAATTTCTTCAATATTTCTCAGAGAGAACAAGTGCTGCCTGCTTTCTTGGAAAGAAGCTCATGCTCAAGAAAACAGCTCAGCATTGGCTGAGACACTCAGTGCTAAAGGTTTGTGGAGGCATCCTAATGTATCACCTGCCTGCCAAGGATGTTATTTTGGGTGCTGTCATGTTTGGCCTTCTTTCACCTAGACACAAGTCGTAAGTTCCTCTCCCACACTACAGGACAGGGGTTCAGCAAGGTCTCTTCACAGGGACACTTCATTTTAGTCCTACAAACCCCACAAACCAGGCTGTACCGTTTCCTTCTGGTATACAGAAAGGAACACAACCATTTCCAATCCCCACCACTTCAGTCCACATTTAGGATGATTATTTACATAGTTCAAGGAAGGCTGCCAAGTTTTAAGGATTGTGTGTATTTTACTGCCAAAAGCCCAGACAGCTTGGATACCTGAACAAGAATATTACCAGTTCCACCTGAGAAGCTAACAGCCTCTCTCTGTGCATGATTTACAGAATAGCTTCATTAAATACAAATTAAGAATTCTAGTGCCTGCAAGTCAGCTCTGACACAGTTTGAGGCTGAGTTGATCTGCCTGGGGGAACCCAGCCCATGGAGTACGCAGTCTGCTCCAGTGAGCTACTGAGCAAAGTCCTGTGACCACAGAAACCAGAAGCAGCAATCAGCTGTTGTGGAACAGCTCACCCCAACTGACCTGAACACCGTCCATTTAAGGCAGCTTGAAATCAAACTCTGTCTCCTGTTAGAGGTGGTTCCCAATCACAGGAAAGTTCCCAAGGTGCACACAAACATCTCCTCGAGGCTCTTCTAATGGCTCAGCAGAGGCTGAGAACTCAGCCAGTCTCCTCAAACTAGGTAACCACTAAACCTAGCGGGAAAATGCATTTGCATGCATTTGCAGGATGGCAAAGGGGAACTATCTAATCTTTAGGGCGTGGGATGAATTCTAGATACTTGTGTTTGCTATTTTGTTAGCCTGAAAGTCACTTTGTAGCGATCACATCATGGCCAGTGACTACTTTAGAACAGCTGCTAGGTGCACTCCTTGCCACAGGATCACCTAAGCACTTTTTTTTTTTTTTTTTTTTGGAGGTTCTGGGTCTGCTATTATTAAGATGAGAGGCCTCATTGATTTCTCTCTTTACACAGCAACAAATACCACCGCAGGTATGAGCAGCACTGTTGTTACCACATAACAACCCTGCACGAGGAAGTCATTTCAAAGAGGAAGTCGTATCAAAGCAATTACCCATTCACAGTATGAGACTGTGTTTGCCATATTGATTTCCCATGCAGAGAGAGCCTATGTAACTACACCCAAACTTAAGCTCACCAATTGGTACAAATGGCGTCTCCTTAAATTTCCGTAGCAGCTTCGACGTCTGGCTTGTTTCAGTCTCATACTCAGGGTAAACAGGTTCGTGACCGGACGACATGGTGCCTGCAAAGACAAGGAGTCTCCCTTGAGATTTTATAAATAAGTTAAAGAGAACTTTCAGAAAAAGAAAGTCCCTCGTGTATTCCACAAGAACTGAAGGTCAGCTTAGTTCAGTGCAAGCTAGATGAGCTGAAGCTGAGCTGAGGAGCTGCATACAGATGATTTAATTCAAGCAAAGCCTTGGGAAGCAAGACCCTTCAAAAAAAGTTTGATGCAGAAACTTGTTACTCTGTTGAATCTTTCACCCCATGAGAGATCCCAGCACTCCCACAGGCCCACGGTCAGCAAGAGGCTGCTGAAAGCTTTGGTCTCTGCCCACATTTCTTCTCAGTGCTCCACCATGCTGCTTCACTCCTTACCAGCGGATTCCTTAATAGCTGCCATGCCCTCAACTCATCCCTCCCTTTTGCTGCCTGCCAGGAAATGCAACAGAGGTGCTACGGGTGGAAAGAGCAGCGGAAGGTCAGTGCTGCCTTTAGTGGCTGCTCTGTCACAGCTGCAGCTCATCTTGCTAGAGAGCAGAGTAGGAGCGTGCCCTTGGTGGACACAGCAGCATCACAAGCAGTTTCCATTGCAGCACAGATGATTCCCCAGAGAGGAAGAAGAAACAAATAAAACCAAACATCACCGCATTTACTCTCTAAGAGCTTTACTCACTGAGCCTACCCCTAACTAGGGAGATCACCACCAGAACTCCCCCTGGTTGATCCCACACCACGCCGTACTCCTCGTTCACCTCCCACTGCAAGCATCACTCAACAATCAGCGGCCATTCCTGCTACCACGGCCAGCTCAGGAAGGATCTCTACCGGCATCAATCCAGCGCTGCCCCAACACGCTCAATACGAAACACAACTCAACCTCCCCGGAACCCCACCGCGGAGCTATGCTAAGGGCAGGCCAGGGACCTGCCGGAGCACACCTCGGAAGAGGCAGCACGCCCGGGCCGAGCAGCATTTCCTGCACACCCATTTCACCCCAGAGCTCTTTACAATAAGCGCTCAAACCGCTCCCACGGCCCTGCCGAGCTGCGCTCCGCCCTTCCCCCGCGGGACCAGGAACCTCACGCCCGGGGAACGCCAACCGAGCCGCGGGGAGCACCTAGCGCCCCGACCCGCCCTGACCTTGCCCGACACCTAGGACACACCGAGGCCTGCAAGGCTGCCCGCGAGAACGGCTTCGACACAGAGGAGGCGAACCGGAAAACAGATAGGAAAGAGACAGGCCGGAAAACGACCCGCAGCCCCGCACCCGGCGCCCCGCTCACACCGCACAGCGCGCACTGAAGTCGCCACTCCGCGCTCGGCTCCCGACACCGGCCGGCGTCTGCGGCACCAGGCCCCGCCCCCCGCGCTTATTGGCTGGCAGCCTCGCCCCGCCTGAGAACTACAGCTCCCAGAACCCCTCGCGCCCGCCGCCAGCCAATCCTGAGCGCCGCTTAACGGGGCGGAGCCTTTGTTCCTTATATGGAGTGAAGTCCTTATATGGACTAGGAGGTGAGGCAGGGCGTGACGTCACTCGGCTCGGGGCTGAGTTACGGCGGGAGCCCCGCCCCTCCCCCCCATCAGCAGTGCCTGCAGGATGGGCGGCGTGGTCCCTTGTGAACCCATCCATCCCGAGCGCTGTTCAGTGCCGTCCCTTCTGCACTTTTCTGATTGCAGCTGAGCCCTTCTGCTCGGTCTTCTTGCATTACATTCACTTCGATAACAAAGGGGTTGAGGGAATCCTGCTTCCTGTGCCCAACGCTGAATGGAGAAGGGAGGGGGCAGGGAGGATTTTGCTTTTTTAGGGCAAAATCAAACAGTGAGGGGGATCACAGCATTGATACACAAAGAAGAGGTGTCAGCCCGAGGGACGTGGTGGGCAGGGGTGTCTGGATTACACCATGGGGCTGCACAGGTGAGTGCTGGAAACCCTGAATCACAGAATGGCCAGGGTTGGAAGGGACCTCAGGGATCATGGATCTCCAACCCCCTGCCGCATGCAGGGCCACCAACCTCCGCATTTAATACTAGACCAGGCTGCCCAGGGCCCCATCCCATCTGGCCTTGAACACCTCCAGGGATGAGGCATCCACAACCTCTCTGGGCAGCTGTTCCAGCACCTCACCACTCTCTCTGTAAAGAACTTAACAGCCAGTGAAACCCATACGGAACCCATACATCCCCCTGTGAAAGGAAGGGATGTGGTCATGGGGTCAGGAGCAGCCTTATGTGATCTCAGAGAGGCCTGAGATGTGGGGCAGGGAAGCTGATGCCATCAGTGCTGTCATTACCCTGCCTGTCCCAGGACTTCAGCAGGGCCAGAAAGCAGTGCCTGTGCTCAGCTGTAGATTATATTGTCATTATTATTTTTTTTCCCTTAATATTTACTGCATCACTAAGAACAAACAGTATTTGCAAAACCATAGGGATTTGGGGGATGAACTCAGCACATTATTGCATTCCCAAGAGTGGGTTTTTAAGCTGCTGTTTTCAGGAAGCAAAACAGAACATAGTTTTTCAGCAGCTTGTTGGCTTTTTACTTCAAAAATTATGTTGATATAAACACACATTCAACGTCAAATGGAAGTTCTCTAGTGGATGGCAGGACCCTGCTTTTCCTCCACCTGATTTTTGCCTTTTTACCTTTTATTTATTTTTATTTTCTAAATTTGAGCTCAGTTTGCCCCCTCCTTACAGTGGGACAGGGATTTTAAAGCCTAAAGACAGCATAGAAATTGTTCCTGATTATGGAAGCAGTGCCTGGAACTCAAACAACTTCCTCTCCCTCCTTCCCCCCCCCCCCCCCCACCCCCCCAGTATCCTGAAGATGCCTAAAACCTTCTCCTGAACTTGGAGGCAACTTGCCAAAAAAAAACAGCATAGAAAAGTACTTTGTGCAGCTCCCCACCCCATTTCTGCAGGCTGAGGCCCCAGAAAGAGCAGAGTCCTGCTTTTCCAGGCAGCAAAAAACAAGCAGTTCTGCTAACCTTTTTTTTTTCTTTTTTCATGCTACTGAACGTCCCTAAATGCGCTTTCCATTATTGATAATCTGGTTACATTAATTGCCAAAGCCATTAAGGCTCTGCAGAGTATAAAAGGAAGAAAAAAAAGGAATCTGCAATTACCAGCTCCCAAATGGAGTTAAAATCTGGTAATAAATGACAGCAAGGGCTGCTCTTGGCCATGGCAGTTACAGACACATTTAATTCCCTACAGCTCTGAGCTCTGTGCTCAAGGGTAGAAACTGAGTTATAAACCCAAACTCAGTTCGTTTTCATTGCTGGGCTAACGAAGCTCCTGTCACCTGGAGCAGCCCCATCAAAGCTTCTGCTTTTTGCTCCCTGCTAATGTACATTGCCCAGACATGCTCAAGGGCTTGCATGGGTCTGTGAGGCAGCTAATTGCTGTAATTGACCAGCTAAATGGCTGGTTTGGTTCCCTTTGGAAACCCGAGTCTTATCCAGGCAGCAGAAACAAGCAGTGTTTGGTCCTGCATGGGCGCTGTAGGGAAATGCAGGTTTGATGCAAGGGCAGAGCCTGGAGGAGCTGAGATGTGGGCTGAGAGATGCATAGATTTTCCCTGAAGAGTGTTTTAAATCAGTAACACCCATATTTTTGGTGCAAAAGACATTTTGGAATAGTGGACAAGGAAGTAACCAACAAAATGTGTCTCAAAGTACCACAGCAACAGCAAGGAGAACACGGGGACCAGGCTGGAGCCAACTCCAGCACCTAAGCAGTGATATTTGACATCTCACTGAAGGATGGCTTCCTGACACTTTCCAGCAGTCAGCGCTGGGTTTCCTGTTGGTTGGTTTCTTCTGTGAGATGCTGTTTCCATTCCGCTGTGCTTTGGGGTTGGTTTGAACCCGTGCAGTGGTGGCAACACCGATGTCCCTGTCACCCACAGAGTGCCAAGAAGGACCTGAACCGTGGAGGTTGCTTGCTGTGAGGCTTTTATTTATTCATTTATTGGAGGTTTCTGCCCATTCTGTGGTCTTTGCTACTCTTCCATTGTTTAAGAACATTGACATGAAATAGAATCATAGAATTACAGAGTGGGTTGAGTTGGAAGGGGCCCTTAAAGGCTACGAGGTCCAACTCCCCTGCAGGGAACAGGGACACCCACAGCTCCATCACATCCCTATCCCCTGACCTTGAGTTTCTCCAGGGACTCCAGGACATACAGTTCATACCTCAGTTCTTGAGATTTCACTCCCCAAAAGCTGTGTTGATTTTTTTCCACACAATCCCCATCTCTGGAGGTATTTAAGAACATGTAGACATGGAAATATGGGATGTGGTTGAGTGACAGGTCTGAGTAGGTCTTGGACTACAGTGCAATTCCCAATAATTAAAGCTTTTACAAAAAAAAAACTAAATTAGAAGGAGCGTGCTGCCACATCTGTGATTGTGATGTAGCAAACCCAAGGACAACAGGGAAAAAGAAATGAAAGGTAAGGAGGAGAGGGGTAAAGAAGACAGGGATCGTGGATGGATGGGGACAAACACGTTGTAAAACAAAGAGAAGACAGGCAAAAGAGGCCAGTTACCTCTAAGCAAGCAAGCCCAGTCTCTCTCAACTCAACTTACAAATCCTATTTCAGCTTTTTTCAGGGGTGGTGTCAGCGCTGCAGTGACTCCAGGAAAGGCAAAATAAAGGCAGGGCAGTCACGCTGAGTTCACGTTTCCTCTTGCACCACTATGAGAGGTTCGTTCCTAGAAGCCTGAGTCAAACTTCTGGCACAATGGGAACAGCCTACCGTGGAGCAGCGGCTCTTGTAAGTGTGTTTTCTCTTTTGTGCTTGTAGATAATGGAAAAACCTGGAGAGCTTTCTTTGGGCTGGGGTTCATTTCAGAGCTCAGCCTACGTATTTCTTGGGAGGATTAATTGCTTCTTTACTCTGGAACATGGGATATAGTGTGAATGTCTGTGCCGGTGGTGTATGGAGGAAGAATGACACAGCCAGGGGAGAAGCAGCATTTCAGAGAGCTGAAAAAGCCCCAGAAGTAGGGGTGTGGGGTGGCTGCCCCAGTGTGGGTGCAGGGAGTGCTGGAGCTGTTTGGAAGTCTCACTGGATGTCAGAGTGGGTGGAAAACTTTGGCTTCTTCCCATGCTCATGTAGTCCAGAATGCATTCAGCAGCAGATGAGTTTCCTGCAAAACATGAAGCAGGGAAAAAAAAGCTCATTCCCAGAAAATTTTATTTGGTGCTGTTATGCTGTGCATTCATCTGGCTGCCATCTGGTGCTCACAAAGGCAAGGTGAGACAGCAGGAAAACATCACAGCTCTGCCCATGCTGAACTTTCTCTCCTTTTCAGCCAGCCTGGGGTGGACCCTTCAGCAGTGTCAGACATGGGATCACAACAGGTATGTCCGTAGCTTCACCTCTTGCAACTCTGCACTGCAGGGATCTTCAGCACCCTGCTCTAAGCCTTGGGTGCTCTGAGGTGCAGGGACTCCTGCTTCAGGCCTTTCCATGAGGAAGGCCTGGTTATGGTCCTGGCTGCCTTTGGGAATCTTGGTCATGCATAGGGTTAGGGTTAGCACAGCTTATCCTGGGAACAGCAGCTTCATTTTCTCTTCACTTGGCAATTCAGTTGAGGAGAGCAAGACAGGAGAGGCTGCAGGCAGGGAACTGCTTTGGGATTGCTAAAAGAATGGGTCTCAGAGGAAATGAGGGCAGGTTTGGCCATGATGTGTGCCCCAGGGGTGGTGGGGACATCTACAGTCAGTCTGACCTCTGTGACAGCCTTTGTTTGCTGTTAGAGCCTGGAGTCTTGATTCTTAAAACCCACACTGACCTTCATGGTACCAATGGGAGGTGGCTCAGGCAGATTTATCTCACACCATAGGAGATTTCATCTTTTCAGTAACCGATATTGCCCCGTTTGGATGATGACTTCCTCGTGATGCTCTCGTGGTTGGAGTTTGTTGAGAATCAGACTGTGAAATTAGGAAGTTCTCTCAATTATTGACCATTTCCTGAAGTCTGGTCTGTAGCTGTTGGAACCAATGTGCAGTCCTCAGGCACAGGAGTAGCAACTCTAATGCATAGCCTTGGGCAGGGGCTTCAACCTACCTCTTGTCTCATGCTTTGATTCCTAAAACTGACACAAACAGGGTACAGTGTTGTGCCAGGAGCAGTTACTTTTTGCTATTTTGCTTCTGAGAGCAGCCCTACCAAGCTAAATTTGCTGGTGGCAGGTTCTGCTATGCTGAAAAGCAGGATGTCAGTTTGGATATTAGGAAAAATTTCTTCTCAGAAAGAGTGGTAATGCACCAGCACAGGCTGCCCAGAGAGGTGATGGAGTCCCAGTCCCTGGGAAAGGATAGATATGGCACTGAGGGACACGGTCAGTGGGCATGGTGGGGGTAGGTTGTGGCTGAACTGGGTGATCTTAGTGGTCTTTCCCAACCTGAATGGTTCTGTGATTCTATACCACTTTCTCGGTAGCAATCATGGTGAACACAGAGCAGTACAAGCTGGGTGTGGTGCTGGACTTCACATAATTTAGGGTAGAAGCTTCCTCAAAAGTTTGCAGTGGTGTCAGAGGGAAGTGGTGAATCAGCTCAGAGGAGACCATGCTTTTCGTGCATGGGAGCAAGGAAACCTAAAGTATGATTTTAAATGTTAGTGTCTATGGCTGTCTTCATGCTGTAGGCAAAGGCCAAAGAGTGCAGGACATGTGGCATGGATTTAAACCTAAAAACTGAAGAAAACATTCCACATTTGCTTTTCCTACAATTGGAGTGACATTTTGAAATGCCCTGGTGATCCCCTTCTCTTGTCTTTTGCTCCTAGGCAGCCACTTGCCCTATACAGCTTCAAAGCTGGCAACAGCAACAGCTACAGCCTTGCTGAATGGCCAAGGTTACACTGCCAATTCAAGTGACTACCCCTACGAGTACCTGAATGAGGAAGACTACATGCTTTATGGCCTTTGCACCAAAGAAGAGGTGGTCTCCTTTGGCAAGGCATTCTTACCAGTTTTTTACACCATGGTTTTCCTAGTTGGGTTCACTGGGAACGTTCTTCTATTTACTGTCCTCGTGTATGTCAGTAAGAAAAAGAAGATGACAGAGGTGTATCTGCTGAACCTCGTGGTTTCGGATTTTCTCTTGCTGCTAACCCTTCCTTTATGGGCCCTGTTCATTTCTCAGTGGGTGACCTGGGATCTGTTGTGCCATGTCTTAAATGCCATGTACATCATGAATTTTTACAGTGGTATCTTTTTTGTGAGCTGCATGAGTCTGGACATGTATCTGCAGATAGTTCATGCTTACTCTCCTCACAGCTCTGTGACACGGAAGAAGTCCTTCCTCGTCTTGTTGGTGTTGTGGGTCCTCTCCATACTCCTCTCCATTCCCGATGCCCTCTTCAGCAGCACAAAGGAAATGCACAACAAAACCATCATATGCACGCATGATTACGGCCAGAAACACTTATTTTGGAAAGTTGTCTTTCAGGTCATTCAAAACATCCTAGGTTTCCTTTTGCCTTTCTTCTTCATGGTGTTCTGCTATTCCCGCAGCATGTGTGTCCTCACCACGTCTCGGGTGCCCGGCTTGAGGAGAGCACTTCGCTTCGTCTTTACTCTGGTGGCTGTCTTCTTTATCCTGTGGTTCCCTTACAACATTGTCCTCATCCTTCACTCCCTGCAATACGTTGGTTTGATCCAGAGCTGTGAGAGGAGTAGGCAACTGGACTATGCCATGCAGATCACAGAGAGCTTGTCCTTTGTCCACTGCTGCCTCAACCCTGTGCTCTACGCTTTTGTGAAGAAACGATTCAGGTTGTACTTACAGAAGATCCCTCAGGCTTTCTGTAGGAAGGGCACCTTTGATATCCAGCCCTCAGAGACAAGCTGCTCTTGCAGCAGATACACCACTCAGATGGAAATGTTGAGCATCACCAACACATGATAAATTCTTGCTGGCTTTTGCCACGTGCCAGGGCAATGTGCTCAGCCAGGCTCACCCCTTAGCCTACCAGGAGAAAAAACAGGAAGAACAGGCACTTTTAAGTGGGTCTGAACCACACTGAAGTGTACTGAGCAGGACACTGTGTCTACCCAATGGATGCATCCTTGGTTTGAGATCAGTTTGATCATCACAGCACCAGAATTCAGACGAGTAACTATCAGTGAGAGAGGAAAAAAAAAAAAAAAGAAAGAAAAAGCTCAATGGAGACCATCATTAACAGACATCAGTTTAACCTCTCCACAGAGTGGCAGCATGGCCTTAAGCTGAAGAGCATGGATAGCTATTAGCCAATCCTTATAACTGATGTGGTTTTACAGTTCAAGGTTACTAGTTTGCTGATTTTGCTGACCTTTTTTAAAAGGTACTGTTCACCTCAAATGCTTTTGAACTTCAGCTGGGCTTTTTCCAGCCTAGAAATCAATTCAGCATGTGAGTTGGCTAGAACTGTGCAAATAAAGTTTATACCTTCAGAGCAAATACTCATCACCTTCTTAATTTTATTGCTAGACAGGGTTACTGATAGGACCGAGAAGGGTTTTCAGTTGAACAAAAACCATGCATTTGTTTTCACTGCCATATTGCCATCATCACTGCCATGTGTTTCCAAAATTGTAAAGCTAGGAGCTTCACTTAAAAAAATACCAAGGCAAATATGTAGGTGATGCTACGCTGTGACCTTCACTACATGGGTCAGGTCTGCGTCGGGGGTGTAGAAGGGAAGAACAGCTGGGAAACAAATCTGAGATAGATAGAGATCTTCATCTCCTGATCTATTCAGGGAGGGCCCATGGGACTGTAAGGTGAAGGTAGAGAAAACGAGGGGTGAACTGGGGAGGAACGAGGGTGGGAAAATAGGCAACAGGTGGAAGCAGCTTGCACTGTTCATGGTCATCTCCTTACCAAATCCTTTTCCCTAACTCTCTCACCACGTAATGCCCCTTTATCCCACATGAGGCTGCTGCAAGGTCTACATGCCAGCAGCTGGATGCCCAGTAGTGCTGCACTGGGCACAAGGGACGAGGTTCCTGGGGTCCCTCCACCCCAACAGGAGACATTGAGGAGCAGAAGCAAAATGAGTGGAGCTGTTGGAGACCTTTCCTTCTCTTGGCATTTGAGACCAAAGTAGCTCCGCTCTGTCCCCCCCTTGATCCTAATTCCAGCAGCACTTTGAACATCTGCTCCTCCTCTCTTTTTTTTTTCAGCCTGCACTGCATGTCTGTAACTGAGTGTTAAATGCAGAAATTGCTGAGGGGAATTCTCCAAAGACCCTTTTTCCAAAACAGCGCAGCCCAGGAAAGAGGTTTGGCTTATACTGCTGCAGAGCTCACACTGATACCCATCGACTTTATGCAGCAGCCTGTTGACTGCAGTGGACTCTAACAGACCTTTCACCTTAAAAATCTCTGTGTGTCAGCCAAGGAAAGAGATGTCCTCACTTCAAATCGGAAAAGCAAATAATTGCTGCCAATCGGGGCAGATGCTGTCAGCTTTGCATCTGCGTATCAGCTGCTGAATGGGAATAAAAAGCACTCCCCTCACTCTGGTCAAACCCCCAGCCAGGAGAAGGGCTCTGATGGCATTCTGGACAGTTTTCCTCTGTACCTTGGTGGCATCGCTGCTTGGGGGGCTCTACCTCCTGGGGGCTTTTCGGAGACGAAGACCCAATGAGCCACCTTTGGACAAAGGCATCATTCCCTGGCTGGGTTATGCACTGCATTTCAGAAAGGACAGTTCAGGGTTTCTAAGTAAGATGCAGAGAAAACATGGAGATATTTTCACGGTGCTGATTGGAGGCTATTACTTTACCTTTGTGATGGACCCCTTCTGCTTTGGAGCCATTGTGAAGGAATCACGGTCTAAACTAGACTTTGTGACCTTTGCAGCTAAATTGGTCCTCCAGGTTTTTGGCTACAAGTCCGACAAGAACAACAATAGTGCTCTGCATGCTTTTAGCACGAAGCATCTGATGGGAGAAGGACTCAATCTCCTGACACAAGCCACCATGGATAACTTCCAGAAGCTGATGCTTTTCAAGCTGAGTTCAGGAGAGGAGAAGCGACCATGGCAAGAGGCCGGCCTCTTCCACTACTGCTACAACATCGTCTTCAGAGCTGGGTACCTGGCTTTGTACGGCACTGAGTCACACCAAGGGACAGGGAACAAGGAGAAAGCTCACAAGCAAGATCTCATCCACTCCAACCAGCTGTACACCGAGTTTCGGAAGTACGACCGCCTCTTCCCCCGCTTGGCCTATGCCATGTTGCCTCCCAAGGACAAAGTAGAAGCTGAGAGGCTGAAGAGGTTCTTCTGGGATGCTCTGTCCGTGAGTAAGGGTTCTCAGAAGGAAAACGTCAGCAGGTGGATAAGTGAACAAGTCCAGTTTTTGGCAGAAAGTGGTGTCCCTGACTACATGCGTGACCGCTTCAAGTTTATGATGCTATGGGCATCCCAAGGCAATACAGGCCCTACTGCCTTCTGGCTCCTCTTGTATCTCATGAAGCATCCAGAAGCTATGAAGGCTGTGAAGGGAGAGGTAGAGAAAGTCTTGAGGGAGCATGGCCAAGAAGTGAAGCCAGGAAGCCCAGCAATTAACATCACCAGAGACATGTTAGACCAGACTCCTTTTCTGGACAGTGCTGTGGAGGAGACCCTGAGGCTGGTGGCAGCCCCAATCCTGATCAGAGCCGTCCTCCAGGATGTGAGCCTCAAAATGAGTGGTGGCACCGAATACACTCTGCGCAAAGGGGACCGAGTGGCTCTGTTCCCACACCTCTCTGTGCAGATGAACCCAGAAATCCACCCTGAACCTCACAAATTTAAGTATGACCGCTTTGTCAACCCAGATGGCACCAAGAAAGATTTTTACAAGAATGGCAAACGGCTGAAATACTTCAACATGCCTTGGGGGGCCGGTGTATCCATCTGTCCTGGGCGGTTCTTTGCTACAGCTGAAATTAAATTGTTTGTGTCCTTGATGCTGACCCACTATGACCTGGAGCTGGTCAACGACAAAGAGGAGATCCCAGCCATAGATTCGAGCCGCTGGGGATTTGGAACCATGCAGCCTGTTCACGACATTCAGTTCAGATATCGACAACGTGTTTGAAAAAGCTGTGCTGTTCTGTTTGTTCAGATGTTGCTGTGAAATAAACTGCCCGAGTTGTTGGCTGCTGGATCCGTGTGGAGTCAATGCCAATATGTTCTTATTTGCTTAACAGTATTGTGGCTTTTCTTTTTTTCTTCTTTGCATATCGCACTGCCCTGCATCACCCCTTACCCTGTCTGGGTAGGGCAATAGAAGCTCACCTGCACACCAACAGGGAGTCCAGAGAGACAATGGTGAGGTGGAGGACCCCAAATAATACCCTGCTGGGTTACTCCCAGCTCTTCACAACAGCTACCAGCCTGTCAGAAACCAACTTGCACATGCCAACAGGAGAATGGGGATGTAACGGTAGGTTGGAACCCAAATTAAGGACAACTGGGAACCCAGGTTAAGGATGAATGCCTCAGCTGGGTCTCTTTGGGGCTGTCCCACCAGAGCAGCCACCCCTCAGCCCAGGCATGAGGACTACTGAGATGCGTGACAGGGATTGGGATTAAGGTGGGTTGCTGCTAAGGGGTGAGGCTTTTTGTGGGGCACAGAGGAGAGGCATGTGGGGATTGCAACGGGTTCATGGTGGGATGCTTGAGGAAGGAACCAAAATGGAGAAAAGGAGGGATTTAGGTGATGCGGGGAGGAAAATAGAGTTACAAAGAATTAAAAATGTGCAAGTGTGTGAAAATAGCTCGCCTTGAGGCTCATGGACTGGCATTGTTCCCATCTAATGCCTGCTGGGGATATCTCTTCCCTTTTTTTTTTTCTTCCTTCAGCAGCCAAGGGAACATCTGTCCCCACAGGAGTTAAGTCACAGCACAGTGAACCAACTTAATGCAGATGCTGCCTTTGGAAGTTTTCATAGAATGGCTTAGGTCCACAACCCTCCTGTGCTGGGGATCTGGATGCAGCGCTCCAGATGGGACTTCACAAGGGCAAAGCAGAAGGGGACAATCACCTCCCTGCCCCACTGCTGCCCCTCTGTTGATGCAGCCCAGGATGCAGTTGGCCTTCCAGGCTGCAAGAACACACTGCTGACTCATGTCCACCTTTTTGTCCACCAGAACCCTCAAGTCCTTCTCCGCAAGGCTGCTCTCAGTGAGCTCTTCTCAGATCTGCGGTCATATCTGGGACTGCCCCAACCCAGGTGCAACACCCTGCACTTGGCCTTGTTCAACCTCATTAGGTTCTTGTGTGCCTACTTTTTGAGCTTGTCAAGGTCCCCCTGTTATGTACAATCGAGGGCACTCAAACGTTTTAATATGTCTCAAAACATCAAAGCCAGATTCTGCTTTCTGTTGTGAAGAATGGGGCTATGTTATAACTGCAGCAACTGAGCAAGTGTTGTAACTTCTCCTCCTGCTGAAGGCAGAGCTGCCCTAAGAAAAAAATTATCTGCATTTTAGTGCTTTGCTGTACTCCAGTTGGTGTGTGTGTTTTGTTACCTCTTGTAATGACCTCAGATCAGAGTTGAGAGTGGATTCTGTACAAACATTCAGAGTTGAGAAGGAGAGAGAAAAACGATGAGAATGGCAGTGATTCAGCAAAAATATCTGGCTTTAATTCTTTGTCAGAATAGATAATTTAACAAAACAATATTGAGTCTATAAAAGACTTCAGACATGCTCAAACGCATGCAAGTATGAGAAGCAAAAATCACTTAATTTGAGGAATAGTGTAAAAGCTCCAAATGGGTTAATCTGCAGTCAAAGTTTATGCTTGGATGGGCTGTCCCTTGGCACCAAGCAGTCCATCCCAAAGCGTAGCAGTAAGAGGGAAAACCAGACTGTGCCAACAGATACCTTATAGGTCCTGAAAGGTTCACAGACCACACCTCATCACGCTGTCTTCCAGAACTCCTCAAAACCCAAGAGAACCAAGCGTGAAATCTGGCCCTAAGACCTTGCTTTTCTCTTCTCCAATGCACTGTGGAGGAAGCATTACCTTAATGTTCAAAGACGTACAGTCTGACAAATCAGTGTCTGCTCTGCACAGCACAGTGGGAACTGCTTTGCTCCCAGTTTGCTCCGCACACAATGCAGGAAGAGCAGCCATGGTGCTGCAAGCTTCAGGTCTGGGGCAACATCAGTTAAATATGTTGGAAAAGATCCCCAGTGGCTAAACAGCATCATGTCTAGCATTGAACTGTAACACAGTAGGAACTGATTTCCCATCCTTGACCCTCTGAACACAGTGAGGTGTGGCTTGAGGAAAGCCTGTGCTTAAATGCTGCATGTAGGGAAAGCTCAAGAAACCCAACTGCACCCATAAATACATCACTCACGTCAGAGAAACCCAAAGGAACACAGAGGTTATAGGTACAAAGCAACGACACAGCGAACACCATCCGTCCTCAGCAGGTCTTGAAGAAAGAGGACTGCAGCGTTCAGGATGCCCTGGGCTTTCCTGAAGAATCTGAAGACAAACCGATGTAGATGCAGTGGGGCAGATGAGGGGTTGTTATGAAGCCCTGTGTGATGGGTGTACCAGTCATCTAGTTCTAATGGGAGATTTCAAATACACATGCCCCCAAAAAACAACTGTAGTGTCTACAGACCACGAACCCCTTGAGGAAAATGACCAGCCTGCAGCAACAGCAGTGCAAGTGCCCATGGAGAGCCAGTAGGCTCTATGACAAGTGGTTAACTTGAGCCCCAGGGAGAGCAGGCTACAGCTTCATGAGGATTAGGGTGGGACAGATGAGCAATTTATCAGTTACTGGAAAGCCCCAGTGCTGTTTCCCTCCCTGCACTCCCCCTGTGCTACAGGTGCAACGTGCTGAGCCTGGCCAATGGATGTCACCAGGGTCCCATTGCCCAACCCTGTGTCTGACACAAGGCAAAGACATCATGGGACACATCACAGACATGGCAACACAGCACATGTCTCGTTGGGAGGGACTCACAAGGTCTCTGGTTCAACCCTCTGCTCACACTGAGCTGCTCAGGGCTTTATCCAGTTAGATCTGAACACCTAAAGCCTTAGGATACGTTGCTACCTGGCATCAGCCTCCAGAAGCACTGTGCTCTGCACTGTTTCCCCACAGTGAATCTTTCTGACTTACTTTCTGTTTCCCCACTCCCACTATCACCTTCTTGGAGCTCTTTTCATATCAGAGATGTTTTCCCTTTACAATTGTTTTCCATTTTCTTTGGAATTTCGCAGAATCACAGAACTGTAGGCGTTGGAAGGGACAACTGGAGCTCATCAAATCCAACCCCAGGAGGCAGGCAAGAAGCCCACCAGTCTCTCAGTCCTTGTAACAATGGGATAAGCAATCCAGTAGCATCTGAAAGTGCATAGTGTGGCATCCTGGGGACAGGGCAGAAGTCAGTGCCCAGTGTTTGCACACTGACTTCAGGGAAGGATTTGCTCAGCTGCTCAGGGCTAGCAGCTAGTCCCTTTCAGAAGGAGCTCTGCAAATCTTTCCTACCTGTTCCTGGAAGCACTGAGCCAAGTCACCCAAGTACTGTCAAGTTACCACCTGTCAGCTGAGCCACGTTAACTGTATTTCAGCTCTTACCAGGTGGCAGTGGGTTAATTTGCTTAGCTGTGCTAAATTGCATTCAGGAAGAACAGAGTCAGCTCAGATCAGCCGATGCGCAGTAACTCGACAGAACAGTTTGCCATCAAACACTGAGAGCAGAAGGGGAGGTGATCCGTGCCTATCTCCACATCCCCTTCACTGTGCAATCATGAGGCCGTACTTGGAGCACAGCAGACCCCTTTTCTTTTCCCGATCAGTGAGGAAATTTCTCAGTTTGGTGGTGGGGAAGGTAACCAGCGCTTGCTGCCTGTTGTCCAAACCCGTCTCCTGGAACCACGGGCTCTGAAGGCACTCGGAGGCTGACGGTCTTCCCCTGGGACAAAGGGGAGAAGGTCAGTTGGGTTTTCTCTCCCAAATCCCAAATGGGAGAGGAAGAAGGGGCAGGAGCCAGGATTTGCACGAACTGCCAGGGGAGCTGCCTTACCAGGGATTTGCACACAGGGTGCTCTGGAGAAATGACACTGCTCCTCCAGAGAGACCCGCGTAGCACCGTGTCAGCTTCACCTTCCCCTTCCTGGTGGTTCTCAGGAACTCGCAGGGCACATCAGAGCTGACCGGGTAGTTGGCGCTCAGCCTAGCCCGAAACAATAGTGTTATCAGCACAAAGGGCATCGCTTGAGATGCTCCTTCTGCTGGGAATTCCCATCCAGAAAGAGGTCATGGCAGTGCAAAGAAACATCGCATGGAAAACAGAATCCCAAAGGGCAACATTCTTCAGTGGGCTTCATGACTTCAGCTTCTTTTCTGCTTGGTGTAATTTGAATTTTCTTGCTAAAGTGGGGGCTTTTCAGATGAGGCTGAGCAAGAAACACAGCAGCTGCTGGGCTGCGAAACCAACTCCTTATTCCACTTGGAGATGTGGCTGGGACTGGGCATCCTTGCACAGTGCAGCCAGCTCCATGGCCTCTGCCACATGTCTTTGGTGGCACTGCTCAAGGGAGAGGCTACTACTGATGTTAATGTCTGAGTGGGTACGGCTCCCTTTGTTGATGACTTGGAAATGGCACTTTTAAAGCCAGGGGTATGGAAGGACAGGCTGACTTACATGATGAATGCTGTGATTCCAACGGACCAGATATCAGTCTGTGGGAGGGCTCCTTGCTCTGTCAGCAGTTCTGGAGCTAGAAAAGCAAATGGGTGTGAGCCAAGCTCCCCTCCAATGCTACAGCACCAATACAGGGAGGTTGGCTGATCTCAGTCACGGCTGAAACAAAACCTTGAGAACATCAAAACAACGGGGCTTGCTGGCAGTAACACTACAACCTTGAGCATAGGACACATGGACACCAGCCAGAACAGCATTGGCCATGACTTCTGGCCTTGTCCTTCATGGCCTGGGAACTGCTGTCACCACCACCCATGCCCCTCCATCAGCTCACCACAAAACTTCTTGCTGGGGCCAGCTGCAGTCTCAGTGCCTTGCCCAATGGCTCAGCCTGTCTGTTTACTGCAGATTGCATACAACATCAAGGTTGCTGTGAATGAACTCTGTACTCACCCATGGTTTCAACATAATCCATGCAT